GTTGAGATGATTAGTGGTTACTAAATGTCATTTGCATTTTGTCATTTTGTGATGCTTATGAAATGTCTAAGAAGATTAGTGCAAAACCTGCAAATTACAGTAGCTGTTTACTTCATTACGAAGTATTAGTACACATTTTGTATCAACCTTCATGTAGGCATGAACGCGGGCTGGTTTCGGTCTGGTTCTGGAACTGGTTCGTGAAGTGGTTTTTTTTTGTTCGGTTCCCACAGGTCTCCTTTTTTTCTTTTAATTTGGGAAAAGTATATAAACGGTCAGAAATTGTGGCACAATGTTAAAACAAGAAAAAATCCAACTAGAAAACCAATTCTCTCCCTCCGACGGTTTTGAAACTAGTTTCCTAACCCACCGCGGGTACACTTTTGGAACTAGTTCTCGAGAAGTCGACATCGATTTTGAATCAAAACCATGCGTTTATGGTTTGATTTAGGGCAATATTGGAAATATATGAGAGAACATTAATGGTTTGATTTAGCCAAATAATAAAATAAAAAGATACAAAGCATTATTCTTTTAATAGTTTACTTAAAGATTAAACCAAAATGAAGTTCTTTGATCGACATAGAAAATAGTCATAGATTTTAGATAATACTAGAAGATGCACACATTAATGCGAATGCAAATTACATCTATACACACGTAATCAATAAACACATTAAAATATTAAATCTAATAATGTGAAAATTATTGAGTATGACGGGTCTGTTTGGGAATAGCGTTAGAGATTAGCGTTAGCGTTTTGAAAAGGCTATCTACGATCAGCGTTTAGCGTTAGCGTTTTCAAAGTAATCTGCACCGTTAAAATTTTATCCAAAACGCTAACGCTAATCTCTAACGCTATTCCCAAACAGACCCGACATCATGATCTGTAAAATATATTATTCTGGTGTATGATATTGTTTGAATATAGTGTATTAGAGATCATTATGTCATATTCAACATTGTATGAATGCAGAGTACATCCATAGACACGTAATCAAGAAATACATTATTTAGTTTCATACTCAATAAACAATAATCAATATGTTAATGATATTTTGTACTCCCTTCGTCCTTCGTCCCGTTTTAAATCACCCGTTTTAACTTTGGAACATATTTAAGGAAGAGAAAAAATATAGTTGACTTTTCGAAATTGTAATTATTTTTTAGGAGGGGTGACGATGATTGAGAAGATAAGGTGGAGAAGAGTGACTTATTTTATGGATAATTTAGATATTTTAATCTTAAATGTTTACGATATTAAGAAATAATCAACTTATTTTGCGACGGAGAAAAAAGGAAAACAAACAATTTAAAATGAGAGAGAAGGAGTATGTTTTAAAAAAACTTCGGTATTAGATTTAACATTTTCAAAAATATACTACGTATTTAATAAAAATATTTAGATTAAAAATTTATTCCGTATAAAATTACTCTATACCATTTACAAAATAAATTAAAAACATTATTTTCAAACAATATCATACACTATCCAGATTAAATTAATAATGATGATGATTAATATCACCAATATTTTATTATGGACTACCCTATATGCTTCATATATTTTGCTAACTCTTTAAAATGTAAAATGTAAACATTCTAATTACTAGCTAAGTATTTTTGTTTTTCAAAAAAATGAAATAATTAGTAAAATATCAAACAAAGTCTTTGACGAAAGAAACAATGGCGCCGGCCCTCCGGGGGTCGATCATCTCGATTCCATGGAACCCGACGTCGTCGAATCGAGCTTCCACCTTCGCGCCGTTCATCACCAGCATCTGTACGAAGTCTTGTTGCCGGTCAATCAGCGTGCCCCCCCCGAACCCGATCACCAGAAACTTCCCCAGCCGCCGCAGCTTCGCCTTGCTCGCCTCGTCCACCATCGGATTGCAGAACCTGTGGTCCCGATCCGTCCCCGGCGGCAGCGCCAGCTCCCAGAGAAGATCTATCACCGGCAGGGGGAAGTACTGGTCCGTCGCCATCTTCAATTCGGATCTGGTCCTCTTCTTCCCCCCGAATAGGGGCTGATTCAGGATCACCCCTGCTAGGGTTACGCCGCGCAGATCCAGATCCAGACTCCGCAGCGCCGCATGGTACGCCACGTTGGCGCCGCAGCTAGATCCGTAGAGATAGCACCGGGAGAAGTCGCCGTACCGGCCGAGCCACTCGTCGCCGCCGCGTTCCGTGGCCTGTTCGTTCACCCACCTGAGCGCGTCCGTGGCGTCCTCGTACTGCGACGGGAGGCGGTGTTCCGGCGCGTTGCGGTAGTCGACGGCGACGACGATGGCCGGGACCTGGCCGGAGAGCTTGTTGCAGCCCTCGTGGACGATCGAATTGGCCACGCTGAAGGTGATCCAGCTCCCGTTCCGGAAGTAGATTATGACCGGCAGTTTCCCGTTGCAGACGGCCGGCCGGTAGATTCTCATCCACGTCTTCTTCTCCTCCGACAGGGTCACGTCCTTGCTAAGAACAGCGTGGTCTGAAGCCGATTCGCCGGCCGCCGGAGTTGTGGGGAGGTGCATCAGGCGGGTGAGTGTCCCATCCTCGTTGAGGATCACTTTCATGTGCTCGTAGGGATCAAATTTGGACATGATTATCAATCAATTAATTAATTTTTAAGACACCTTTAATTAATTAATTAGTTAATTTAAACAAATCCCTACGTATTTAAGCAGATATTTATATTTAAGAAATGAAGAATATGAGGTAAATTGTGTAATTAATAATGGCGGTGCTTGATCATAGGCTGGTCAAAATGTTTCATACACACAAAGATCTAGGGTGATTAGCATCACACGCACAAAATGTAATTTATGTAAAATTAGGGGAAATAAATTTGTATTTCAAAAACAATTTTTTTCCCTAAAAATAAAATGTAACCTATTTGTAAATAGCGTTAGGAATTAACATTAGCGTTTTGAAAAGGTTATTTACGGACAACATTTTCAAAATAATTTACACCATTCAAATTTTATCCAGATGCTAACGCTAATTTCTATCGTTATTTAATTCCAAACAGACCTGTGATATATAAAATGTGATAGAATTATATTCTTTATTATTTACTCCGTAAATAAATTATAAATGAAATTTATTAAATGTTCGTACTTATATAGCACTTCTAATTTTATTTTCTCACTCAGTATGCATATCCTTAAATTGCAGACATCAATCCACTGTCTTCAACCTGAAGATCAACGCCGCCGTTGATGAAATTCTTGATGGCGGCATACAGAGCGTCGGCGCTCGCCGGATCAAATATCTCAACCCCGTGATGCCCCGTCTCCAGGAACTGCGCCACCACGCTAACCCCGTGCTCCCTCAACAACTTGGCAAGCTCCTTCTGCCTGTCCACCAGTGGGTCCCCCGCGTACCCTCTCACCAGGCTCCTCGGCAGCCGTCCGATCTTCCCCTCCACCCCGGCCATGACCAACGGGTTCGAGTACCCGTGGTCGCGGTCTGCACCCTCTGGCAGCGCGAGCGACCACATCAGGTCGTTCGAATGCAGAGGGACAATCTTGTCATTGACAAGTCTCAGTTCCGATTCCGTCCTCTCGACCCCGCCGAAGTAGGGCTGGTTAATTATCAGCCCTTGGATCTTCAGGGGCGAGAGGTCGTCGTCGAGGGCGCGCAATGCAGCGTGGTACACGATGTTACCCCCCGCACTGCTCCCCATCAGGAAAGTTCTGGAGAAGTCCGCCAGTTCCTCCATCCACGGGTCCCGTTTTGGGCCAACCGCCTGGTCCCGGGCCCACGCAAGCGCGTCTGCCGCGTCCTCGTACGCGGCGGGGAGGCGGTGCTCCGGGGCCAGGCGGTACTCCACGGACGCGACGACGGCGGGGAACTCAACCGCCATGCGGTTGCAGGATTCGTGGAAGATGATGGAGGCAGCGCTGCAGAACACGAAGCCGCCTCCGTGGAAGTATATGACGAGAGGGAGCTTGGCCCCTGAGGGGGAGGAGGTAGGAGGCGGAGGGGGGCGGAAGAGGCGAATGAAGGTGGCGGCGGAGGGGTTGAGGGGAATATCTTTGGAGAGGGGGAAACGGGGATCGGAAGGGTTGGAGGGCGAAACGGGGATGTGGTTTAGCCGGGTGAGGGTTCCGTCGGGGTTCGGGACAATCTTGAGGAACTTATAGGCCGCTGCTTCTTTTTCTTTTGCTTCTTCTTCTTCTTTGGAGTTGGAGTTGGAAAGGGTTTGGTTAGAGGTGTATGAAGAGTGTGGTATAATATGTACTATAGTCTCTCTTTCACAAACTAAAAGATGTACTCAACTTTGTTCTATATATGCAAATGTTAATTAGGTTTGAGGTTTGGTACAGGGGAGAGAGGAAAAGGAGGTAGGTTGGGTGATGGAGATATTTACTGCTACTTTATTGAACAATAGTCTGAATTTTTTTTCTATTTGACTTTATGATTTTTAATGCAATGTTTTGATCATCAAAAATCTAATACCCCAAAACGATATTTTTTAATGTAAATATTTTATTGCAGATTTATGTGTCAAAGTTTAATATTCAAAAATTGCTGAAACTTTATATATTTGTTCATTTTTACTGATTATATTATAGATAAAAATCTGATTTTCACTTTTTGTTTTGAAGAACTTTTCGCGTTGTTTTAACTATATAAATTTTATTTCTAGTTTTTATACTCATCTTTAAATAAAATGAATTGAAAACATTTAAAATATTAATTTGTTTTCCGTAATGTGGCAAACATTTTAAGAAGGAAGAAGCATATTTTTTTACATATATTATGAGCAAAGTTTAGAATCCTTAACACCATGTTGAAGGAATTTGAAAGAAAAAGAAAAGAAAATGATTTTTTTTCATTTGTCTCACTAAAATGGAAGAAATTTAGTTTTCTTATCTCTTATTAATATTTGTCTTCGCATTTTCTTTTTTTTCTTTAACCAAACGAGAAAAAATGTTATTCATCTCATATTCTATTCTTTTTTGTAAAATTTACACTAAATAGGAGGATTAAAACATAATGACTTTCCCAATGTAGAACTTAAATTTTTTTATTCTCTAAATAGGACTTAATAATGATGACCTAGTAGGAAGAATAATGTCCAGTAATGATGGATATGACATTTACTTCAATAATAACTACTTGATAATGACCAAAAATCCTAAATTGAATATTAAAAACATATGGTTTTATATTGGAAAAGTCATTATGTTTTAGTCCTATTTAAGTAAATTTCTCTTCTTTTTTCTCTCAAATTCTTGAACCAAATGCAAATTTAAAAAAAGTCAAAAGTAATTAATTAAAGGAGGGGCATGCAACCAATTCGACGGTTCCATTATTCCCATTCGGTCCCAATTCGGAAGCACAGAGAAAGGAGGTAGGTTTGGTGATGAAATATTTATTGCTAGTTGGAAAAAAAACTTAGGTACATAAAATTTGGTCTTTTTTTTTTACACCTTTATCTTTATCGGTATCACATGTACTCAATTTTATATCAATAATGTCAAAAATAAGGTTAAACTAATCACACATATCCCAAAGTGTGAGTGTGTGACTCTTGCTAGCTAGTTGTATGCAAGCCTTCCATGTGCTCATTTACATTACTCAAATGGTTTGATAATAAAGTCACGTCATCTCGATCTTGTTCTATAAGCTTTCAGATATAGTCTTTAGACTAAATCCTATAAAAAATTTCAATTATAAACACATATCAAATATTAATAATTTAATCTCCAATTATAATACTCCTTCCGTCCCAAAAGGATTTACACTTTCAAAAAAATTGTGTCCCACAATCTCCTACCCATTTCTATTAAAAAACCACTTTTACCCTTTACCTTTTCAAATCCTACATATCACATCATACCTTTTTCCTTATAATCTACATTTCACATTCTACTTTTAGACATCAAATCAAGATTATTTTTGGAAAATCAACACAAAATTATCCCTCCCTTAATTTCCACTTTAGTCAAAATGTGTAAAACTTTTTGGGACGGAGGAAGTAGTATTTTTCATAAATAATCCTTTGTTAACATTTCCGTTGGAAAACATGGATAAAATTTGTAAATTCACACTTTTCTCTCACCTCAATTAAACTTCCCCATGCTCTCGAACTCTTTTCTCAAACTTGTCGCTGAGTTTGAAGCTTTGAACCAAACCGAAATCATCACTCCTCTTTCAATTGTCCGTCTTCATGGTGAAATCTAAAATTGAAACCAATAACATTCATGGATGAATTTTAAGGTTTGTTTTCTTTGCAATTTTCAGAGACTAACTCATAAAACTCATCCATGAAAGTTATTATTTTCGATTTTGGGTTCCACCAAAGAGAGGAACAATTGAGAGAGGAGTGGTTGTCTCGATTTTGGGTTTAGAGCTTCAAACTTAGGGACGAGAGAGCGGAGTGTGAATATACAATTTTATCCATTTTCTTAACAAAAATTTTAACAAAGGACTATTTGTGAAAAACAATATAATAATTTGGGACTAAATTATTGATAGTTGATATGTATGAGCTAAATATGTAAAACAACCTATAACTGGGGATCTTTTATAGAATTTCTCTAGTCTTTATATACTCTACTATTGCATTGACGGTTTTCTCTTTAGTCTCACCCCATTACACTACAAGAATGCAAGTGAAAACAAGACAGAAAAAAGAGACGGAGATCTGTCTCAATTATGGAGACGAAGCGCAGGGACGGATTTCCGTCTCTAAAGCTGAGATGTAAAAAAGAGACCGATTTTCGTCTCTTTGCCGGGACGACATTTGTCTCATGAATAGAGACGAGAAATCGAGATGAATGTTTGTCTCAAAATTTAATACAGAATACATTAAAGAGAGACCAATTCTATCTTTCTCTTCAAATTTTTACTCGTATTCTTCGTCCACACATTTCTCTCTCTCTCTCTCACTTACCTTTTGCAACTTCTTTTTCTCCTTGCTTGGGTTTCTTCCATAGATGTCTTCTTCTTTGAAGCCAGGTATGTTCTTTCAACTATTTCTCTGTATTCAAAATTTCTCTCTTCTTCATCCTTCTCTTTTGTTGATTTTTCTCTTTGAATGTATTCTTTCTTTTTAACCAATAACACCTTTTATAACAGATTTAGGGTTTTTTTGGAAATAATATTAGAGTTTAGTAAGTATTTTAAAAAGATTATATACAGACATCGTTTAGTGTTATTAGAATTTTCAAAGTTAATCTGCTCTATTAACATTTTGAATAAGATTTTTTAGATGGAGGCAATATTTAAAGCAATCAAACTCGATTCGACAATTCTAATATGTAAAATTTGCACTAATATAAATAGGACTAAAACATAATGACTTTTCCAATGTAGAACTTAAACTTTTTTATTTCCTAAACATGACTTAATAAATGACCTAGTGGGAGTAATAATGCATAGTAATGAGTAAAAGTCCTACATTGAAAAATAAAAACATATGGTCTTATATTGGGGAAGTCATTATGTTTTAGTCCTATTTAGGTAAATTTCTTTTCTATTATTAAAATCTGGGAAAGAACAATAGAAAACCCAAAAATTTATTACACGTACTTGACACTCCTAATTAACTATAGTTTATAAGTTTATTACGAAGTACATTACAATATGAAGTACCGACTCCGGTGCAACGGCTTTTCTGAATACGTTCAATGCTTATTTCTCAAAATTGATGGTTTCTCACCGAAATGACCACACATATGGAGAGGCAGGGATGGGAAAGGAGAGGTAGGCTAGGGCTGTGGTGGGAGGACAAGAGTGGGGGGCGTGGGGCTGAGGTTTAATAAATAGAATTAAGGAATAAGAACAATTAATTTTGTTAATGGAGTCACCACGTTCTTCAAAAAGTGAGTGGCATCGGGAGTGACACTCCTAAGCTACTTGGTGGCAATAGAACCAAATTGCACGGAATAATTTTTAACAAATTAAAAGATATTTTCTCCCTTCTTAAAAGATTATTACATTTTTATTTTTTTTATTCAAATTATGGAAAAATCATTTACTTATAGTTTAAATTTAATAAAATTTAGTTGATTTTAAAATATAATTTTGGAATATGAAATTTTTTACAATATTTAATTATTTTAAGTTTGTTTAATTTGTGATTAAATAGTGTGGATAGCGCGCGTTGACCAAAACATAATCATTTTGCGTGATCCGAGCCGTCGTTAATAAAATCCTTGATGGCAGCATACAGAGCATCGGCGGCCGCCGGATCAAACATCTCCGCCGCATGATGCCCCGTCTCCAGAAACTGCGGCACCACGCTAACGCCGTGATCCCTCAACCAGCTGGCAAAACCCTTCTGCCTGTCCACCATTGGGTCCCCCGCGTACCCTCTCACCAGGCTCCTCGGCAGCCGTCCGATCTTCTCCTCCACCCCGGACCCCCCTGTTGCCGCCACGACCAGCGGGTTCGAGTACCCGTGGTCGCGGCCCGCACCCTCGGGCAGTGCGAGCCATCACATCAGGTCGCTCGAATGCAGAGGGACGATCTGGTCATTGACCAGTCTCCGTTCCGACTCCGTCCTCTCGACCCGCCGAAGTAGGGCTTGTTAAATATAAGCCCTTGGATCTTCAGGGGCGAGGGGCCGGCATCGTCGAGGGCACGCAGTGCCGCATGGTACACGATATTTCCTCCCGCGCTGCTTCCCATGAGGAAAGCTCTGGAGAAGTCGACGAGCTCCCCCATCCACAGGTCCCGCTCCGTGGTGTCACTCGCCTGGCCCCGGGCCCACGCGAGCGCGTCCGCCGCGTCCTCATAAGCGGCGGGCAGGCGGTGCTCTGGGGACGCGACGACAGCGGGAAATTCGGCCGCCATGCGGAAGTACATGACGAGAGGGAGCTTGGCCCCTGAGGGGGAGGAGGAAGGAGGCGGAGGGGGGCGGAAGAGGCGGATGAAGGTGGCGGCGGAGGGGTTGAGGGGGATATCTTTGGAGAGGGCGAGATTGGGATCGGAAGGGTTGGAGGGTGAAACGGGGATGTGGTTTAGCCGGGTGAGGGATCCGTCGGGGTTTGGGACAATCTTGAGGAACTTATAGGCCGCTTCTTCGTTTTCTTCCCCTCCCTCCGGTGGTGGTCCGTAAAAGGAAAGGATTTTGTCGCCGGACATGATAAATTAATAATTACTTAACTATGTTTGTGGTTCATTGACTTCATTCTATATGTGCATCTTACGTAGTACGGAGTATTAGGTTTGAGGTTTTGTTGTCTGTTGTAGTGTTGTCATCACCGCTAGTTTGGGTGATGAAAATATTTATTGCTATTTGATATTTGATAGAAACTCAACCATAAATGTTACTCCTACATCAACCACTATACTGCACGTTGTATATCACAGATGCGTATGGAGTATTTTAAAATAAATGAAAGATTTCCAAATTTTTTTATTAATAAATATACATTTTCCACAATTCAAGTTAAAAGATACCACACCTTAACTAAATAATTTAAACTCTGACAATATTTTAGGACAGAGGAAATATTTCTTTTGACAACAACTAACATTTGTTATCATATTATGATATAACGGACACCGGTAGTGCACCGTTGAGGTGGGAAATGGTTGAACACTTGAGCCCTTTTAAACTCCTTTTGCCCCTTTTCCAAAATATTGATTAACAAAAGCAAAAGTGATGTTTTGGGAAGGTGTTAGTGTGGTAAAGACTACTTTCGCTAATTGATGTTTTGGGGAAAGTGTTAGTGTTTTTACAAAAGGGCAAGGTTCCCATGATATTGCTCGGTAATGTCATGGGATGACCCGACGCCGCTCCGGTGCCTTGTTCGTAAAATTGGTTCTTACCCCCCTAACCCCCCGGTAAACTGCCCCACCCCGCCCCAACCCGAACATACCACCCCACCCCCTCCAATTGCACCCCACAAGTTAATTTTGCCTTTGGAGTCAAAATTTGACTCCAAAGTCAAAATCAACTTGTGGGGTGCAATTGGAGGGGGTGAAGGTGTGTTCGGGTTGGGGTCAGGGTGGGGGTAGGAACCGTCAATTTTATGAACGGGACACACCGGAGCAGCTCTGGGTCGTCCCATGACATGGCCGGGCAATGTAATGGGAACCTTGGTGGTTACAAAATTGTATGGTTAAAACGGATATAGAAGAGAGAGAAAAGAGGTGAGCTATAATTTTTTTTAAAGAAAAGAGAAAGATTACTTAGGAGTTAGTTAGGACCAACTCAATAAGAAAATACGGAGTAAGAAAAATTAATTTGAGATGGAGGAAATTTTACTATTATAATGTGACGAGAAATGTTACGTTGTTAATTAAAAGAAAAAGAGGGGAGCTTCCGCAATTAAGAAAAGTAGGGGCATGCATGCACTAATTAATACTTCCTCCGTTTCTTAAAACTCTTCCTCTTTCTTTTTTTTGTTTTTCTTAAAACACTTCCCCTTATTATTAAAAAAACCACTTTTACCTCTACTTTTTCATACCCTACCTATCACATCATACTTTTTCACTAACAACTAAACTATCACATCTTACTTTTACCCATCATTTCAAGGGCAAAATTGAAAAGTCAACTACAATTTAACACTTCTTTATTTTTTCTCAAAGTCAAAAGAGGAACTCTTTTGAGAAACGGAGGTAGTACTACGTCAGTAGGAGTGCGTATATACGGAGTATTTCAGAGCAACCAATTCGACGGTTCATTCATTGTTCCAATTCAATTGGCAACACATATAGAGGTATAAATGTGGCTTAATTGTTTTGATGCCTTAGCTTGTTGTACTCAATCTCTAAAACGTAATTTTTTTGTCCCAAATTAAATTGTCTATTTACTATTTACAGGGTCAAATTTTATATATTTTTGTTTTTTATATTTTCATTAGTCATTTACTAAATTATTATAGTCATGTCAAAACTAATTTTGTTGCCTTTTTGATATACTCCGTAGCTTTTAAATATGAAATTTTTATTTTTTAATTCTACACCGTTTTTCAAATAAATAGATTTAAAAATAACTTCAGTCAAATATCATATCGTAGAACAAAACAGATGATTTAAATTGGAACAGAGAGAGTAATTATAAAAATACCCCGTAAAAAATAAGATAAGATTAATGTGTTATTTTTATTTATTTTACTCGAATTTACAATATTATTAAGTGTGACTTGTTTAGCCCAATCTACAATATTCGGTCGTAAACATGTATAAAAACTCGAGTAAGAGCATGTTCTTTAGGATAGAAACATGAGATAATACATGGCTCAAAAAAAATTAAAAAAGAAATTACCACAGAACATGCAAAAAAAATTAAAAAAGAAACATGAGATAATACATGGCTCAACACTCAAAATATAAAGAAATTGATACATGAATGTCTTGAAAGAAGCAAGAATCACACGCAGTTCTTTTAGAACATATAAGCACTTTTAAACAGAAATGAGTACATATATAGTGGCATTATTGCAAATATAAATATAGTGTTTCCTACATAATCCGTATTTTTTCTTTTAATTTTAATGTATTAACTTTTTATATGTTTGAAGGTAACAGTTTTAAATGAGTACGTATTTTTTCTTTTAATTTTAATTTATTAACTTTTTACATGCTTCCTACATATACTCTCGTGGTAGTATATTTTAATAGTATCATTACTGTTTTTTCTTATAATAATAATAATAATTTATTAACTTCTGAAATGTTTGAACAATTGAATATCTATTTTTTTAAATACTTATGAATAGCGATGAATTGAGCGCAGGAAGTAGGAAATGGATTTCAATGAATAACAATAATACGGAAATGTCAATAATAATAAAGTCTCAAACACACCAGATCCATTATTTGATCGATGCTCCGCCATATACGAAAGAGAACACGGCTCTCCAATTGGAATCTCCAGGTGCAATTTCTTCACAATAGCAGCGATTATATCCGAATCTTTCCAAGATGATTCTTATTTCACAATTTGGTAAGCTTTATATTTCATAACTCTTGAGAAATAGAAAACGATTCTGTTAATTGGTGAGAATATGCCTTTGAACCAGTTCCAATTGGAGAGCCGTGTGATGTTTAATGAAGGTTGTTTTAAACTTTGATAAATTAGCATGAAGTTGGATGTTACCCTACTTGGAGAGTATGTGAAGATGTTTAAAAGTTTCTTTGATAAACAGCCGTTGGAAGGTGAGTACATAGTATAGAAGAAGGGAGATGCTAGACCTAGATAATACTTTGTGAGTCAAGCACAGACAGGGGGGTGTACTCCAATCAACAAATAGGATAAGGGATGCTTATAATTTGAATATCAAAGATTAAATAGTTTACTGCCTTCTATCTTTCTAGATCAAGAAGTACTAAGCCTAAAAGAAATGTCACTTAAGTAGGGTATCTGCATAGAGGTTCTTTGAAATCAAACTGGGGAAAAATAACTTGGATACATCTTAGGTACATCGGTTCTGAAGGTGTTGAGTTTTGATGTGATTTTTAGGTTATTTAGATGGCCTTGCTCGACAAGAAGATTCTTACAGAAACATGTCAAGGTTTACAAGAGTCCCCCCTAGATGACAGATATGTCTCTCTGAAGGTTTGCCTCATTTGATTCTTCTTGAACTTCAGGACCATCTTAAGGACAAAGACAGAGTTATGGGCCTGATTCTCATCTTATCCAATGAAGGTCTTTCTGATGAAGTGAAAGCTCTTTAGTTAAATTTACGTCTGCATCCTCCCAATTCCATCATTTCTGTGGAATACACTTAGTATTAGGTGTATCCTCACTGTAAATTGACTCAACTAATGGTATACCTTTTCAAGTATAAAGCATTTTTCTTCTTATTTTAGTCACTGCTCCTCTTTTATTTATCAAACTACAGGACCAAACAAGTCCTCCCTATCCATATAAGAGTCATTGCGAGCAGCTACTTCAACATTTCCGGTAAGGTTTCAATTTTTGATATTTTCACGAATAGCAAACAGTTTTTTGACCTGAACTAATCTTTCTGAAAGTATCTTAGAGGATGTTTTAAATAGAAATGCTAAGGAGACCCATGATTTTGTTTTTTAGTAGTGGGACTAACACGTGCCATAAGACCTAGGGCTTGGCTAGGTGTATGAGCCTATGTGTCAAAGAGGAATTCCGCCGCAATTCCTTCACTTCACCCCATCCTGAATTATTAAATCTTAAATGTTGATTTGTCTTAAGATAAACATTTTACAAGCAGTTCTATTATTATTATTAGTGTTGTTGTTGTTGTTGTTAAGAAGTTCAAATGTATTTGTAATTTAGGACAAAAAAAAGAGATTTGAAATGACATTATACAATGGGTTCAAGACCAGGATAATTACTCGACTTTGTCTAAATGTTATGATTGATTGATTATGAGGCAATGAGGTGTGAAGGGGGCTCTCCACTTTGTCTTTATTTTCCTTTTTGTAATGTTTATTTTCAAGCTTCAGCTCAATCTGTTTGCTCTGAGGATAGAGAAAGATTTGGGAAATTTCTGCAAAAAATCACAACCGCCAGTGACCGGTAAAAAAAGATTTAAGGTGAGGTCAGGTTTAAAATAATTTCCCCTCATTTTACTTGGTATACTTGATTCCAAGTTTGTCCTTGACTCTTCTGTTCAATACTTAAGTTCTTATGTGTAAATGAATTAGAATGCGATTCCATCAGAGAGAAGATCTGAGTGTTGTTCAGCTCCAATATTCTTTTGTCCTCTGTGCTTCAAGTTACCAACTAATCCATCAATTCCAATTATTATGCTAGGACCTGACACTGGATTGGCTCCATTTAGGGGAGGTATGAGAACTCCTTTTCCACTTTATTCTCGGTTGAGTTTTTTATTGTTTATGTACTAAAAGTATGGCATTGGCTAGGAAGTACAACACTGATGAGAAAACTATCTGCTGCAAGTATGTTCTCAATTTCTCATCCTCAATATGTTCGTTTATTTATTATTATCCATTGAATCAATGTCTCTTTTTAAATTCCAATTCCAGTTCTCGAAATTGGGATTTTTAAACTCTCAATTCATCCTCTCTGTTGACCGTTGCTTTAACGTAGCGTAAGGGACAATGCCCAAAGAAATGTCGTATGTGAGCCGTGCTCTCTTTGTTTGTCATTCGCTTGAGTCAACCGTAAACTTCTTCTAAATCTCTCTTTTGTTTATTTTAAGCAACTCCTATTTTGAACCAGACAAAATAAGGTTTTGTTTTAACATTTAAAACTGAATAATAGGAACATACACAAGGTCTAGGGTTCTTGCGCTAGCGATTCCTTTCATTGCAGGGGCTTAACCCGACCCATTGAGTTTTAATTTTGTCTAATGATGGTGCAGCTACTGGCAGAGGCGAAGACAACATGGCTAGGCTAGAATTTCAATCCTATCTTCCCTCATAGATGATGGGTGGGGCAACGCAAAGTAGATGTTGCATTCAAAGAATAAGTTACACTTTCTTTCTATTCGATTAGTTTGTTTATTTATAAGATCTTTAGAACTTCGCGATGGACAACGAAAGTTTCTTTTTAGATTGCATTCTAAAGTGAGTAAATATAGTTTACTTATTTTTTTATGAAATTTCTTAACATAGTTACTAATATTTGAGAATTTATTTTCAAGTTGAAATGGTAGTTTCGGAGTAAAGATGGGGGGCCGCCTAAAATTTGGGTATTTAATTGTAAACAAAGAATGCTTATAAAATTTTTGGTACTTGGGGTTTCCAAGTTTTAAAACTCTAGGTTTAGCGATGGTGGAAGACGGCCATGACGAGGACATGGGACAAGTGAGACTAAAACAGAGAGGCTATGTGGTCGTTACAGAGCTCCTTTTCTTCATTGTCTTATGCTACATTTTGTGATATGCCAAAAAAAGATTGCATTACAGAGAAAAACCATGTATGAATCTCTAACCTATTGTCTTATGTTTTAGGGTTTGATGATTTCATCAGTACTTTTCATAATTTAATGTTATGGAACTTCCTTATTTGCCTATATGTATTCCATATTCTATCGACTTGGTTTTATAATCTTCTCCTACAATTTTTTTGTAGCATTTTTAGCCAAATATTTGGCCCTATTCGTGAGTGGGTAACACGTATTCTTGCAAGGATGTTTCCCTCTACCAGGATTCTTGAGGTATTTTTTTATGTTCATTTTGGTTTTCTTCTAGAGGTAACATTAAACACATATATCATTATTTTGGGGAAGCATAAAGGTTCTTCTTTATATATTTATTAAGGTTCTACATGTTTTGATTAAAACATCATTCTGTGTTATCATTATTTTTTCCCACATTTTTACTAGGTTGCTTTCCATATATTGTTCTTAGACTAACCTGATTTCATCTAAGTTGATTTGAAACAAGATAAGAATAAAACCATGTCCAAACATATATCTAAGATTTATAAAAGGAAAAACCATGTGTCTTATGAAGATGATGATTGGTACTGAATTTATTTCTTATTTGCTTCACTATTTTTCATATCGTTAATCGCACTATACTAAGGGATTAGTTTTGTATTGAAACTTTGTGTCTTGCAAGTTAGTTACATGTATTTGTTGGGATTTAGTGTATAGGGTTAGACCATAAACTGTTTTCTCCCTACTGTTCTCTGGGTGGAAAAACATTTCAAAGGTGGAATCTTTATTTGATGTTCCAATACCTGGATGAGCTTCGGTGTGCTCCTGACGATTTTACTACCGTCAACATCCAAAAGGGTAAAACTCTAGACATGGATGAACTTATATATGAATTTGCCAAGGTATCGACTATTGATGAAAATTCAATTTTTCTTATTTAATATGTTAGTTTCAAATGTATAGAGGTGTTAGTTTGCTATCACTATGCATATATGTTAGTGAAGAGGAAGCAAATAAGAAATACCCGAAGTATTTCATAAAAAGTTTCCTGTGTGAGGCACTTTGGGTTCGGTTTTGTGATTAACAATGAGTCAACGGCGTCTGAAATAAGCTTGAAGGTAGAGTGTTCTCATTTTATTGACATGGGATTTCGTTATATTAGCAAGCAACATTATAGATTAGAGATTGTTTTAACAATTAGTCCTAAAACATTGATAGTTATCATTTGCCTTCATAAATTTGTATTTACATTTTCAAGAAAATTATTCTCCCTCATCAACATTTCTCGACCTTTCTCTCACCAAAGATGTTATTAAATAAATATTCAAATATTTGGTAATATTTTAGCCATGGTATGAAATATAGCTATATTCAAAGAGAAAAGAACTCGGGCTCATTTTCCCGCCCAAAGATCAGGGTTATTTTTAGAATTTTGAACATAGCTTCTTCTGGACACCAGCTACTCAAAATTATGTTTATCTTCCCATTCACAAAGGGTGATACTAGACATTATTTCCTTCACATTTCAGGTACACGGAGAAATAGACGACGTAGCAAGACTACAACTATCCACCTCGCGCGGCATCCAAGAATTACAGGGCAAGGAATATGTCAACTTCCACCCAACCCTAAAAGTAAGGAACAGTCATATTTAGGTACAGTTGCTGCTCATTCTTATTGAAACTTTGAATTTGGAAACTCTTCTTCAAATGGTTCATGATGAAATTCCTTTGAGGTTATCTTTTGTTTTTTCATTACTTTACTTATCCATGGTCTGATTTTCTTATATAGAGTTTCAACATCAGGTTTTTTTTTCTACATTGGACTCCGAACAGAATGCAAAAAAGAATTTGCATAATTTACGATCTTATAATGTGTTTTACTCTTTGATTGTGTTGTTTGTGTGTTTGTATATTTTTTTTATAAATTTCATGAAGCCAATTGTCATTGTCTAGGTGTTTAATCTATTTATTATTTTTCTTTTATTATATCATTTAAGTGTCGATGGATTTGGAGTTTGAGTATTTTCTTATTAGTTGAGATTTTGCTTGAATATGCATATGCATGTTTATTTAATTATTGATTTTTTATCTATTATTTTGAGCCTCCAACAAAAAGAGTAACCTTTTATTATTGTTTTGGTGTCAACAAATTTGGCTTCATATTACTCTTGGTAGAAAGAAAGATCAGATCATCAACTATAGAGTTGCCTTACTTGCAGAGTATATTAAACGCATGTCCAAGCATAGTTTTGCATTTTTCTTATTATTTATGTAGCTTATGAATGCTGGTCATTCTGGCAATATTGTTGTGCTGGTATTAAATTGATACACTTGAAATCACAAGCAATTTATGTTTTTCAATCAGAAGCTGCTTTACGACCCTTTCGTTTACTTTTAGCACAAAAAAGCAGCAATTATTCCAGCCCAATCATCTCCCGAGCAATACGACGCAGGCTAGCTGGATGGTTGGTGACAATTGGAAACCACAAGCCCCCAACTTCAACTATTTCACGCACTTAGCAAGATGGATAGAAGCATGAAGCACATCCCTAGGAGACAAACAAAAAGTCGAGCATGCCTGTCAACGCTGGCTTCACTTGAGCGCATATTGGATTGAGAACAAACATAGGGCCAAAGAGTACTCAAACGATCCAGGAACGTTGCAGCTTGAAAAAGAGGGAGAGGGTGGAGGTTGTCTTTGTAGGAGTCAAGCAATTGTCGATCATCTTTCTTGGCATTGACCCCGCGGGTACAACATTTCCGAATTTGAGCATCAATTTCTTCATTTTTTCATAATTAAGATTTCAAAGCTATCTTCTTTCCATTTATAGTCACACACACACACACACACATATTCATATCAATTTTTTATTCATTAAAATCATCAAATTTGTGACTTCATCTTAAAACCACTGCAGGCTTTGTTTAGATCAATTTACTTGAAGCATGGAAGAGGAGGCATCCCATGAAGCTTCATCCGTCATTCTTTTTAAATCAATTGCCCCTTCATCTAAGTCTATAGTGCCCTTAGTGCTTGACATTAAAAGGCTACTGCCCATCCCCCTCATCATATATTCAAGCTTGCAACAAACTTTGCATGAAGTATGAGTACTTCCTATTTCCTAACACATAAGGAGTAGCTTTTTTTGAAGGGTAAGAAGTAGCTATATTGTTAAATACTTTAATTGTTATTAGACGGGAATATGGAACTAGGAACAATTCTAATTATGTTTATGTCTATATTTGTACTCCATCCTTCCCATTATCTCTTTTTCCTTTCTTTTTTCTTTGTCGCATAAATTTTTTCCAATTTCTATTTGAAAAATCACTTTACCCACTATTAATTTTTACTTCACCTATCGCATTAAATTTTTTACTAATAATCTACCCATCACATCCTTTTTTAGATATCACATCAAAAGTATTCTTGAAAAGTAACACAAAAATAATCCTATCTTAATTTTTCTAAAAGTCAAAATGAAAAAGACTTAAAGGAACAGAGGAAGTATATTTTTATTCTTATTGTTTTAATAATGAAATTTAATTAATCTAGAAAGAATTATGTAATATTAGGGAATACTCTCTATCACAAAAAAAAATCTTCAATTACATTTCAAGATATACTAGAAAGGATTTCACTTTCTAATTTTAGTTAACTTTTTGTAATGCGTTCTATACATAATTCATTCTTTGAGTGCTATTAATTTAAATACAATGTAGTATTTGTTCGTATTTTCTTTATCTAATAATGTACAACAAAAATTCGAACCTGAGTAAGGAACCTTGGGGAGAGGGCTTCCCATTGCCAGGCCAAGGCAAAAAGCTCATAATATGTTATCAAAAGAATCTAAAAATAAATACGTTTTCTTGAAAGCTACATTTATACTCCCTGTCTAAAAATTTCTTTTCTGATTTGACTTAACACGAAGCTTAAGAAAAGTTAAAAATTATAAAGACTTTTCATGAGTTGCCCTTGATGTGATGGAATAAAGTGATTGTAAAAAAAGTAAGAGCTTATTGACACATTCATCAATAGTTATTTGCTAAAATAAGAAACAAAAAAAATTTGGACAACCCAAAAATGATAATGAGAAAAAAATTAATGAACAAAGTATTAAATATCCATAGACTGATAGACAAAGGAACTACTATATGTGTAATTACAAATTATAGGAGATATTTCATAGACGAAGAAACTGTGGGGTTTATGTCTAATTTGATTTTTTATTCTATATTCTTATAGGAGTATTACATATTTATGTATATAATTTGACCCTTGCAATTGCACCAAAAATGTGGTTTAACCTGGTGTTTTTTTAAAAAATTGGATGTAATTAATACATCTATACGTTCTTTTTAATGTTTATATACATGAATGTTACTCCCTCCGTCCCAAATTATAATGCCTGTTTACTATTCACAGGGTCAAACTTCATTCACTTTCTTTCTCTATTTTCGTTAGCAATTTGATAAAATAAAATATTCTTGTCACTACTAGTTTTGCAGATCTTTTGATGTAGTTTTTTAATATATAATTTTTATTTTTTAATTCTATACCATTTGTCATATAAAATGGTTTGAAAATAATTTCAGTCAAACATCGTAAACCGAAACAGGCGTTATAAAATGGGACGGAGGTAGTAGTTAGCATACTTTGTTTATGTCATATCATTCATTAAATTTCTAACATTGTATATTATACTTAGCTATATTTTAATAATGTACTAAAACAAAAAATTTAACAAAGTTAAAATAACACGCGTTCAACCCGTGCACGGGTTAAATACTAGTTAATTAAGTAAGGGGGGGGGGGGTACTATTTATACTGGATGGGGGAGGGAAATACTATAAGTTTAATTCATTTCATTTCTATACTTATTTACTTCAAAAAAGATTATATATACGGAGTGTGTGTGTGTGTATATATATATATATATGTATATATGTATGTATGTATGCACTACTCTAGTATTTCTTTATGTTAATTACTTAAAAATAAATTTAGATTTTCATTGTTATTATTATTTACTAAAGTTAATGATTTAAAAAATTGTTTTCATAATAATTTACTCCCTCCGTCCCAAAAAGTTTGTTACGTTTAGAAAAAACTGCGTCCCGTAAAGTCCGTTACATTTCTACGGAGTATTAAAAAACCACTTTTACCCCTTACTTTTTCATACCCTACCTATCATATCATACCTTTTTTCTAATAATTTACCCATCACATCCTACTTTTACCCATCACATCAAGGGTATTTTTGGAAAGTCAATACTAAAATATCCATCCCTTAATTTCCCAAAAAGTCAAACCGTTCCATTCTTTTTGGGACGGAGGGAGTATATTATTAGCTTAAGTTAATTATTTTAAAAAAAGATTGTGATAAACTAGCGAATTGGCATATATGCACCCTCACTAAGAAAAGTACTACGTATGAAATTAGTGAAATATGATATTGCACACATATGTGAAAGAGAGAAATGATGCAATATAAGAGTATCTTTAATCGTTCCTCTCACTTTCTCATTTTTTTTCTTTTTTTATGGTCATTTCACTTTTTTTTTTAACTTTTCTCCCACCACTTTAATAAATCATCACAGTTTCCCTTCTTTTTAATGGTAGACCCACAAGTCATAAATTTATTTAATTCTTTGAAAGAAATAAATCATTTGATATTTTATAATAAGTCTATTTTATCTACACAATATTTATCATACCAAATCAAAAAAAGTTATTTTAAAATAAGTAATCTAAATTTATGGAGTATTTTTTTATTTTAAAAATATTAATAAAGAAAATAATAGTTTTAAAATCTTACCATTATAAAAAAATTAACCTATTTTTTATTTTTATTTTTTTTCGTTTCTCTTTTTTTCCTCTTTTCTTTTGTTCTTTTCTTTCTTTCTTTCTTTCTTTCTTTCTTTCTTTTTCCTTTCCTCCCTCTATTTTAATTATTCTCCTCATTTTCTTCTTTTCCACATCATCATTTCTCAACAATTCTTCATAGAGGGGAATTGTATAAATTTAAAAGGGACTTCCAAAAGGTATATAGGGATGAGTTTGGGAGGAAGGAATTGAAGTGCACAAATTTAATTGGGACTTCCAAAAAAATGCTCAAGTTAAATGAGTTTGAGATGGTCCAAAAATTGACCCCATCCCATGTTAAAAGAAACCCTACCTTCCCAAAGTATATTAGTACCCAAAATATCACTGCTTCCCATACTTTAGCTTTAACCAAGAACGCTACTCGTTTATATATCATTGTGTTTATAAATGTGCCCAACACAAAACTCACTACATATTCACCATTGTTACCAAAAACAGCGAGCACATTATTAGTCCATGTGCGTTAGTTGGTATTCAATTTCCTTTTGTTTATGTTTTTTAAGTGAATCATATTTGTAAGGTTTGCCTTTATTACATGTTCCTTTCACATTTAAAAAAAAATGCATGTCTCAATAATGTTAATTAGGTATGTGTTTAGTTTTGTAAAGGTAAGATTGTGTAGTTGAAATTAATTTGTCCAAGATAGAGTGTATGTATTGATGTTTACCAAACAATTTTTTTTTGATACTCCATATGTTCTTAAAGACTTTCTCATTTTGATTTTTGGAGAACTTATGAGACAAATATTTTTATGTTGATTTTCAAAAAATATATGTGATGGATATATTATCTATATAGATTTCTGTTAAAACATATGATGTGATAGATAAGATAAGAATTATTACGTAGTAGAGAAATAAGTAAATATTTAAGAGTTAAGTGTATCGTTTACCCCCGAATTCTTTGAAAATTGCATGGTTTACCCCCGAACATTAAAAAGTGCACCAAATACCCCTGAATTGTTCAGAAATTGCACGGTTTATCCCTGAATAATAAAAATTGCACCAAATACCCTTGAACTCTTCGAAAATTGTACTGTTTACTCCTGAACATTTAAATAAAGACGACAATTTTGGGTAAAGATACTTTGGAAAATTCACAAGGGCCAGATGAATCATATTCGGAATTCTTGTGCGTGGAAGCAACACACTCCCTATCTAATAGTTTAGGACCAACGATGCAACGTTTTAATTTGTTCAAGGGTATTTGGTGCATTTTTTAGTGTGCAAGGGTAAATCGTGCAATTTTCGAAGAGTTCGAGGGTAATCGGTGCACTTTTTAAAGTTCAGGGGTAAAACATACAATTTCTAAAGAGTACGAGGGTAAACGGTGCACTTAACTCAAATATTTAATGAGTAGAAAGAAGAATGAATTTGTGGGGCAGTGGCAGGGTTGGAGGTGGGGGGCGGGGTTTACCGGGAGGGGGAGTTATGAAGGGTAGGAACCGTCAATTTTACGAACAGAGCATCGTACGATCATCGGGTGAAGGGAACCAGAGAGATAATATAGCACATACTACATTATTATTGATCTTGTGATGATCAACATGGCCTCCATTTCAAAACCGGGGTTTTGGACTGTGCGATTCCCCAGAGCCTGAGTCCATTCCAACACCACGCACAACTATAAGAAATGAAGTAATAATAAACTTTAAAAAAATGCTAACCAAAATGTCACAAAACATTTGACGCCAAATGTCACCACTCAAACGAAGTACTCCCCAGAGCCTGAACTACTTATGGGTTTCCAATTTCCAATTTAACTGAAAGGTGGAGATCGAATGCACTAAAAAATGATGAAAAATGCACTAAAAACTTAAATACAAAAAATGATGTGATGAAGAATGCACTAAAAAATCTACTTAAATTTGATTTAGAACGTAACATCATATCCAGGTGCTTCACCCTAGGAGTGGTCCTCAACTGGCCGGTCACATGCATGCATATTCCATACAAATATATAAAAGAAATTATTTTATTTTATTACTTTTCAACAAATCAATCAAATATTAACATATGTTTTCAAGTGAAGGGCATAAATGGTAATTAGGAAGCAATGTATATGGAAATTAAAGATGCTTTTATATATGGGTAATTGATATGGATGTGGTGATCACGCATTTTTATTTCTTTGGACAATATTATTAACCAATTTATTTGTTCAATTCAAGTTTTTAACAGGAAAGTACTTAAATAAAAGTATCGACTATATTACTCTCTCCGTCCCTAAAAAAATTGCTACCATTTGATTTTTTTGGTCAAATTGTAGCATGTTTTGACTACGAACTAAATATAGTTTAAAATAATTTAATATTATAAAAATTTGATATTTCAAAACTATATATTTTAAAATAAACCTAATTTTTCTAAATTTACATAATTATTAAATATAATTTTGATATATTTTCAATGTTTTTACTCATACTTTGGTCTTTTCCCTTCTTTTTTAAGTATAAAAACATTAAGAGCTACACTATTTTGGTAGGTTAAACATGTTTTAGTCCTAAACATTAAGATCTACGGGAATAAAGCATGTAATCATATTGTTTTTAACCTACATGTAATCATACATGTAGGTTAAACATTAAGAGCTACACTTATTTGTTTTTCCGTGCAAAACACTATCTTTTTAAAATAATTTTATTTAAAAATTATATCAAAAGTTGTATAAAATAAGTTGTGACAAGAACATTTTATTTTATGAAATCACTAGTACAAAAAACATAAGTTATCAAACACTCTTAAATGGTAAACAAGAAGGGTTTGATGAAGGTACATCCTGTTGTACTAAAATAACGTAATGTTAATTTTGAAATAATGTAGAGTTCATTCTTAAACAATATAACGTTCATTCTGAAATATTCATTTAATTACAATTTGTCTTTTAAGCATTCAGTATTTTAAGTTTAAGTTCGGCCTACTAAAATGAAAGAATACATTTTTTAAAGCCCACTGACCACCAAGCCCAATGGATCATCTCTTTTAAAGCCCATTGAGTAAAATAATGTATTTTAATAATTGTTCATTTTCTACTTTATTATTTCCTATTTCCTCCCAATTTGTTCCTGCCAGAAAGTCCCGGCAAGGTTTCTAGTTTCAACCTCTAATTCTTTGTTTGTCCGTGTAAGTTCCAATTTCACGCAGAAAGATTGAATATGTTTCATGCACATTTCCTTCTCATCTCTTCCTCGTTCGATATAATCTATGCTTTGATTTTTTTATTTTTTTAAAAACAATATGATTACATGCTTTATTCCCGTAGATCTTATTAACGAACTTTGGGATTTTGCAAAACTGGATGTAAGTAATTAAAATCAAAAACCAAAATTTGTATTTGCTCGTGAAATTCGAGTCTTTTCCTATTGGGTTCAATTCAATTTTGATGCTTTTATTCTTGAAATGAATAATGTTAAGGTAGGTGAAAGTTTTTCAGGGTTTACTTGCAGATATGTTCTTTGGGTGATAATTGATTCACCCCAATCATTATGATCTCATAACACATTTAGCGGCCCATTTGTAAAGATTTGATCTTGAAAATGAAATCAATGTATGACAAGCCCCCCTCTAACCTTCAAAATTAAATTTTGGTTAAGTTTATTGCTGTTGTTCTGCCTTTTTTTTATTAGTTGCTTAAAGAAGTTGGTGGAGGTTGCAATATGTCATATATGAAGTTTCTTTTTTGGCTGAAGAAAGTGTGTGTTTATGTGTGGATCAAGTGGCAATGCAGGAAAGGAAGAAGCCTCAAGGATTTTGACTTTGATGGTAAATGGAAAAGAAACAGCACATTGCGATATTCACTACCGCGAGCATTCCATGGCTGACTGGGACTGCAGTAAACCCTTTGTTCCGTGCCGCCTACCTTGCTAAAGATGGGGAGAGGAATGTCACTTTGGTTGTCCCTTGGGTGTCTGTTAAAGATCAACAACACTTGTTCCCTGACAATATCACCTTTAGCACACCTTCTGAGCAAGAACACTACGTTCTTCGATGGGTTGAAGAGAGGACTGGCTTCAAATCAAGCCTTAGCGTGCGCTTTTATCCGGGAAAGGTAAATTTAAGATTTTTCTTCCTATGAATGTAGTTTGGGTAAAGTTTCCTTAGGGGGATATATATTTATAGTACATTTTAGTACTCCCCCCGTTTTGAAAAAAGCTGCACCTTCATTTTTTGTGCTTCCCACAAAACAATTTTACCTCAAATAAAATATCTAAATACCTCCAAAACAACTTCTATCCACAATAAAGAAGTGTTTTTGGGGGTATTTTTGACACTTTAGGTGGGGTTGAAGTGGTTTGTGGGATGTGCAAAAAATGAAGGTGGAACTGTTTTTGAAACGGAGAGAGTACCCAGTATAAAAACAAAGAGGTTGTTTTTGTTGGACCCTAGATGCAATTGTTTGCAGTAACACATGTTTTTTAGTTCTCCCTAGAGAAAAGGAGCATTCTTGCTTTGGGGGATATCACGGTTGTCATCCCGGATGAGGAAGCAGAAATTGCTGTCCTTGAGGAACCTGAGCACCTTACCTGGTATCATCACGGAAGGAGATGGAAGGAGAAATTTAGGCTGGTGATAGGAATTGTTCACACCAATTATCCAGAGTATGTTAAGAGGGAGCGCAACGGTTTGGAAGCTTTGATCGTGAAATATATAAATGTTTGGGTTGTCAACATATATTGCCACAGGGTATGTTTTTTCTCTGCTTTTCCCCCAATGACTCTTCATCAAAACTAAGTAAGCTAGTAGTGGTGTCAAAAGGACAACTCCACAAACATACTTGTAAACCATTAGAAGAAAAAATATTTCTTGAAGAGTTGTTTAGTAAATCAAGGGATTCATTTGTGTGGCAGGTTATCAGGTTGTCCGGTGCGACGCAAGATCTTCCCAGATCAGTCATCTGCAATGTCCACGGAGTGAACCCAAAGTTTCTTGACATTGGCATGAAGAAGAAAAAGGAAGAAGAACCATTGCAGAGGGGGAAGGAAGTATTCACCAAAGGCGCATACTACATTGGAAAGATGTTGTGGAGCAAAGGCTACAAGGAGCTGCTCAAACTTCTGCGCAGCCATCAAAAGGAGCTTAAAGGGCTTGAAATTGATTTGTATGGCAGCGGCGAGGATTCTGCCCAGATTCAGGAAGCTGCCAGGAAACTGGAATTGACAGTCAGGGTTCATCCCGGACAGGACCATGCCGATCCTATCTTCCATGAGTAAGTGCCTTGTTCTTCTCTTTGTAGCTTCTGCTTTTCTAGTGAAACCAGTAAAATCCCACAGGGGAAATTGAAAAGATGGGTTTTTTTTATGGGAAAATATAAGTTGGCTCAAACTCAATAGATCAAGTCTCTGAATATTTCCTTTTGCTTATTTCAGGTACAAAGTCCTTGTGAATCCAAGCACCACAGACGTGGTCTGCACGACTACAGCCGAAGCCTTAGCAATGGGAAAAATAGTAATATGCGCCAACCACCCGTCGAACGAGTTCTTCAAGCAGTTTCCCAATTGCCGCACGTACGACAGTGGCACCGGCTTCGTCACCGCCACTCTCCGGGCATTGACCGAGCAGCCTGCCCCGTTGACTGATGACCAAAGGCACGAGCTGTCGTGGGAATCGGCAACGCACCGGTTTTTGAAAGCAGCGGAGCTGGACAAGTCATCACCCAGTAACAACAACAATAACAACAAGAAACAATTTGCAAAGAAGAGCTCAAAGCTCAGTCTTTCAGCATCAATGAATCTGAAAGAGAATCTTGAAGATGCATCGGCATTTGTGCACTACGTTGGGACTGGGTTTTTGAACTCAAAGCCAAACGAAGAGCAATGCAAAGAGCTTGGTCTTGCTCTCCCTGCTTCTTCCAAGATGAAGAAGTTTTCAACCTCTGGTAAAGATGATCATGATGTTTTGTGAATAGGTGAAAGATTACTAATTTGTAGAGTACTATTTGTGGTGGCTGAAGTTAAACTGCCATTGTTGTACTGTCAACTCACATCTGTTGTAAATTACAGTATTGTTTAATGTGGCATTTTTTTGACATTTTGTCCTATTTTTATGTTCTGTGTAAGAAATGTAGAGAGGTAATGTTTGGGTAATTCACAAAGCCATGGTTCTTTTTTCTGCTTTTAAAGAATCTTGTGATTTTTGTACACTATCTTTTGAATTTGGAAAAATTACCCAAAATAATCCCAACTTTACCCGGTCTTTCAAAAATAATCACACCTTTCACTGTGATGCATAATAATCCCAACTTTATTGAAATTTGCCAGTTTTGGGTCGCCGTTAAATTTCTAACGGAGGGTTAACGAAAATGCCCGTTTTAGACAACAAAATGAAAGTTGGGATTATTTTTGATGAATTTTTGTTTTTTAATTTTTTTTGAAATTTTTATTTAAATTTTTTGAATTACTTTCAACCTCCATTTCTTTTTCTTTTTTAAAGATTATTCTTACCTTAGAAAAAAATAGATATAAAAAATAATGAAAATGAGAAAAATAACTAAAACCACACAAAATTAATCAAATAAATAATGTAATCAATAGAAATCAAATAGAAACTGGTAAGAAATAAAATAAATATATACGGAGTGGTGGGTTTTAATATTTTACACATTATACGGAGTCTTAATGTACTACTTATTTTTTAAAAGAACAAGCCGTCCGGTAAAGTTGGAATTATTTTAGATAATTTTTTCTAAAAAATAAGAAGTGATATGTTAATACTTTGTATAATGCGTAAAATATTAAAACCCACCCGTATATTTTTATTTTACTTTTACCAATTTCAAGTTAGTTTCCATTGATTACCTTATTTATTTTATTATTTTTGTATCATTTTAGTTACATATCTCATTTTTTTCATTTTTATATCTATTATTTTTATTTTTTAAACTAAGACTAATCTTTAAAAAAAGAAAAAGAAATGATGATGGAGGTAGAAAGTAATTAAAAAAATTAAACGAAAAATTTAAAAAAAATAAAAAAAATGAAAATTCATCAAAAATAATCCCAACTTTCATTTTGTTGCCTAAAACGGGCATTTCCGTTAACCCTCCGTTAGAAACTTAACGGCGACCCAAAACTGGCAAATTTCCGTAAAGTTGGGATTATTATGCATCACAGTAAAAGGTAAGATTATTTTTGAAAGACCGGGTAAAGTTGGGATGATTTTGGGTAATTTTTCCTTTGAATTTTGATGGAGGCAAAGGTTCACTATTTTTTTTGGCTTTGAGTATGATGGAAGAAAGCAAAATAACTCTCTAGAAAGTTTCTACTTTTTTCAAGAGTGAAGTAACAATTAATCAGTGTAACTTTCGACAATTCTCATTGGTCATCTAGAAATAATTGTTCTACTCCCTCCGTCCCAAATAATAATGCTTGTTCACTATTCACAGACTCAAACTTCATTCACTTTCTTTCTCAATTTTCGTTAGCAAATTGATAAAATAAAGTATTATTGCAACTACTAGTTTTGTAGATCTTTTGATGTAGTATTGTAATATGTAATTTTTATATTTTAGCTATATGCCATTTGTCATATAAAATGATTTGAAAATAATTTCAATCAAACATCATAAACCGAAACATGCGTTACAAAATGGGACGGAGGGAGTATATAATAAACATATAGATCAGGTTGTGTACATCAAGTCTTCTTTATCCCGCAATAGGTGAGTCTTTGGGATACTGGAATAATGGTGTTATTATTGTTGTTGTTTGGATGTCATAATGTAAAACAAAAAATGATACTTGCACTCTAATTTTGTAAATTGACACCTTAAATGGCACTATTCACTATATCACATGAATAATGTACTGTATTTTGGAGTGCCATTAGTAAAAGAAAAGTATAAATATCATTTCTCATATAATCCTGACAAATAATGCTAGAAATCCACCATGGGAGTCCCAATGATAGACAATTGCAGATAATTTATACATACACACAATAATTGGCTGAGAACACATATGATTATCGTCTCTATATATAAAATTATTTATGATTGTCGCCCATGATATGTTTCTGGCATGGTCCAATCTAAAATCTTGTTGTGCATTGTTGGGCTTAAGACTCGGTCCTACCCCTAACTCACCCCATAAACTCTAACCAACCTCCCTAGCACTTTGCCGAAGGGTAACAATTGTGCTAAAGTCTTGAAGCATTTGAAGTTTCAAAAATATGTAGATTCAAGATTGGACTAAAATCATTTTGACCTAAAATTAAACCATACCAAAGATAATTTTGGCCAACTCTTTAAACGATACATCTAACTTCCAAATGGGTCATTTTAAAGATAAATTAAAACCGGCTAAATAGCATTAATACCCCCGTGATTTAGAAACGTTGCACCCATATCCCCTCTGATTATTTTCCAATCATTTTTCTAGCGAAGGAGGCTTTGGTGCATATTTTTCAAAACATAGCGAGCACTGCTGTTCATTTCTTTTTTTCATTTATTTTTTGTTTTCCTTTATTTTTTATTTTACTAATCAAGTTTTTCTAAATTTCTTTTTAAATCTTTTTATAATGTTCTTAAAATTTAAAAATTATTTTGTTGGAAAATAAAATTAACTTACGAGTATATTGCATCTGTACATCTCAAGTTAACAATTTTTGTTTTTTATTTTTTGGACATCTCAAGTAAAAACATTTGCTTTTATTTTTTGGACAATTTTTGTTTTTTATTTTTTGGACATCTCAAGTTAACAATTTTTGTTTTTTATTTATTGCATTTGTACATCTCAAGTAAAAACATTTTTGACAACTTAAAAAAATGAGAAATAAAACATTAAACAAAACAAAAAAATAAAAATGAATACCTTTTTTGGACATTCCAATTCGAAAGGCTTTTTCTGTATAAGATTTTTTTGCACGTTTCAATTTTTTTCATTTCGTTTTTCCATATTTTTATTTTTTATTCTAGAAAACAAAAATTGAAATTTTTTAATTTGAGATAGATTGAGCATATGTTATTTATTTTTATTTTTATTTAAAACACAAATAATTTTGAATTTTTAAAATATTATAAAAATTGAAAATAAATTCAAAACAACTTTTCTAGAAAAAGGAAACAAATAGATAAAAAAGAATTAAAACAAGAAAAAAAACCAAACAATAAACAAAAAAATAAGAAATGAGCACGAATACTCTCTATGGTTTAAAATATAGTTACCAATGCCTTCTCTTCAATGGAAAATGATCAAAGGGGTCTGGGTGCATCGTTTCGATACCACGACTTAAGAAATATGTTTTGAAAACTGATGAGGTATTGGTGCCAATTTTCTGGTGAAGAGGGGGCATCCAAAAACTACTTATGTAAAAATAAAATTTTATCTAAACATGAGCCTCGTTTTCTTGTTTAGCCAAATTTTGGATTTTCGGGAGAAATGTAGAACATTTTTATGAAAAGAAACCAAAAGAAACGAAAAGAAAAGAATATTTCACTTAGAAAATGTTTTTTTTTTAAAATAATAGTGCATTATTTTCATTGAAAAAAATTAAATAAAGCATGTCATAAGAACCTCAAAATATGAATGCCTCCACTTGTGCGTGCCGTGGTAAGATTATACTCAATTCATCACAAAGCTATCGCCCTGCTTTGATTTTTGTGGTTATTCCACCCACATGTTAAATACTTACCTCGTCAAATGTTCTTGTTTTGATTTTTAGAAAATGTAAGGTAAATACTTACCTCGTCAAATGTTCTCGTTTTGATTTTTAGAAAATGTAAGGGAGATTGTTTCAACTTTTCAAAAATATTCTTGATGTGATGAATATAAGTAAGATATAAGACGTAAATTATTAATAAAAGAGCATGATGTAATAGGTATGATAAAAATTAATAGGATTAAAAGTAGTTCTTTAATAACAAAAAGGACTTTATGTGACACCAAATAAAAGAAAATGAATTTATGGGACAGAGAAGTATAATTTTAAATAGATAAATATTTCTACGTATAGAAATATGATATATCAAAAAAAATCTTAAAATGGACCTAATTAGAGTAAATTTACATTATAACTAAACATTTTTTTCATACAAGTAAAACCAAAGGTCAAACTAGGATGATATTTTGGAAGGGAAAGAGTATATAAAGCCCAACATAAAATCCATACTAAGGGGCTGTTTGGCAACTTCTGAATGGGTAAGTGCTGAACCAGTAAGAGGTCTGAATCATTAAGTGCTGAACCAGTAAGAGGTCTGAACCATTAAGAGCTAGTATATTGCTTAACTATTCAGAAGCAAATGTCTGATCAATTTAGATAACAGCTCTTAACCATTCAGACTCTGTATAATACTTAACCATTCAGAGGCAAATCTCTTAACCCTTCAGACATCTGAACCATTAAGAGGCTGAAACAAACAGTCTGAACCATTAAGTGCTGAATCATTCAGACATCTGAACCATTAAGAGACTGAAACAAACAGCCCCTAAGCATACTAGTGCATTAAAATTGTTATCTTGTTAGTTTACTTTACACTTTCGTTTTACATTTACATATAAAAAAATGCATGTTTAAGAACAACAATCATTTAATTTAATCAAACTGAGTCATTTTTTGGCACACCCTTAACACTTAAGTATTTAACAATCATTTTTGGACCACCCTAAACCACCCTTTATATAGAGTTTTAAAAGATGTGAAATTATAAGGTTAAATTTTGTACGGATAAAAGTTGATGCAAACCAACTAACTTTTTCTCAAAATGGAAGAACTAATCATAGTAATCAATAATTATAAACATCTAAAGAAATTTGGAAAATAAGAAAATGGCAAAGGGAGTAAAAAAATGCACTATTTATTCAACTCTTGACCATATATGTAATTAATTAAACTGACTCAATATTGTTCTATTGATTGAGTGGCTAATTAATTGCATTTGTAGTAATTCCCCATTTAAAAGTGCAAACACTCACCTAACTAAGTACTTGTAGATCTATTTAATCCTTTTATTAGATATTGGAATCTATGTACTATTTTCTGGGTTAAATATAGACCATCTATCTTACTACAAAGTTAATAAAAATGTTTGGTAAGGTGACAGAGTAACTAGATTTTGATTCCATTCTTAATTTTAATTTTTAAATTTAGTTTAAGAACCACGTCTTCAATTAGCTCCAGCATTTTAGATATATTTTAATTAGTACGGTAAATTCTCAAAATGGTACGAGTACTAAATATTAATTCCTTAGATAAACTAATAACCGAGATGGTACTCGTTAATTAAAAATAATGCCCCCCTCAACTAACCGCCATCAAAACGACATTAAAGCTTCTAGTTGTTTTCCAAAATGATCACTTCTAATCAAATATTTAAACAATAGTCAATTTTCAAAATAAAAACTCATAAAAAATAGTCTTCCGGCTTCTCTCAACACCGTAAATCAATTAAAAGGAAAAAATCTCGCTTCTTTTTTTCATATTAAATGATTTTTACATCGAATATAGACTAACTTGAAAAAACATCTAATTATAGATGATCAATTTGAAAAATTAGTATTAATTTTTAAGCCGCTTTGGTGCCATTTTAACGTGGGACGACAATTAGTCATGGGAACTAAAATTGGGCATTATTTTCAATTAGCGAATACCATCTCAGTAATTAGATCATCTTGAGGATTAATTTGGGAAAATACATAATTATTGAGTGCCATTTTGAGAATTACTCTTAATTTTGAATACGCTAATCCTAAACACTAATGTTAGATAGCCCAACCGTTCCAAAACGCTAAAGGTAAACACTGCAGTTAAATAGTTTTTTCAAAAAACCCTAAAGTTTTTGCCAAAGGGGGCCTTAAACTTTGAGGGAAGGCATGTGCATTTTCCAGTTCTGGAGAAAAGGGAGAGATTAGTGCAAATATGCATTTCCTTTCACATTTACAAAGAAAAGAAGGTTTAAAAATATATTTCAATTACTTCGTGTTTATTTATTTACTCTTTATTCCTCGTGGTGCATGTTTGCTAGCACTAATGAACAAAGTTTTCAAATGGACAGTGCACTATCAGTTGAGTGGGTAATTAAGCACAAAACCTACTTCCTAATTCATACTGCAAACAAACTCTTGAGTAGGAAAACACACTATCCAAGCCCACCATTTTATTGCCAGTTAAAACCAGGCTACTATTTCAAGCTAAAAGATGGACCATGTGTCTACAAAGTTACATGTCTATCTTGGTAAAATTACCCATTAGCTAAGTTTTGAATATATTTTCTGAATATGTTCAAGCTAATAGCAATTACAGTCATGTTTTTTCTTGTTGCAATTTACAAAATAAAACTTAAATGTGGTGCAGAGAACACCAGAAGCACTATATAAATAAGAGCATAAATCATTATACAATATCACTAAGTTCTTTTGATTTGTTCTCTCTAGCTAACACTAATATTTCACTGCTTTATATCCACACTATACACTCTCCCCTTCATAAGAGTAATTCTTCTCTATTTCTTAACTCCACCCTTCTCATCTGCCTACAATAAATGGCTACCGCAACATTGTGGAGTGTCTTTTCTTTGATGTCACTGATTGTAGTGGTATCACAATCTACTTCTATAGTGTACGAATATAACGTGTTTCACAGGTACTCAAGTGAGGTCACCAGTGTGTTAGGCGACAAAGGGTTGCCTAAACAAGGCACCGTGGAGTACTACGCCGCATGGAAAGCTCATGACCAACACCGCAACCGTCTCCATGGAGAGCACCGGTTACCGGCATTGACATTTGCTGGAGGGGATGTCACCACACAGATACAGAATTTGGGAAGGTAAAAATGCAACCCAAAAATAATATTTTCTATTTTTTTAAAAAAAGTAGGAAGTTCTATACTAAAACAATAGTCTTGTTTAAATGTTTAAAAAAGTTATGTTAATGGTAATGTTTTTTAGGGTGCATTTACCATTTGGCATGACACTCCTCTTTTAGCTCAAGAAACTGAACTCAAATTTCAAAATTAGCCTAGCAAGTAAACAACAACAACAACAACCCAGTTAAATCCCACAAGAGTAGGGTCTGGGGAGGGTGGGGAGGGTGTGTGTACGCAGACCTTGCCCCTACTTGAAAGTAGAGAGGCTGTTTCCAAAGAGACCCCCGGCTCAACATCGAAAGTTGCATTGCTTGACTAACTGCTACTTCATTAATTAAAGAAGCGCAGATAGTTTAGAGATCCATTTTGATTTATTCCATCACACCCCAAAGCCAAAAAATGGTGAAATTTTGGCTCCATCGGAGATGATGGAAAGTAGCAACAATTAATTTATCTTCTAAACAGTTTTAAATTATTTAGTGATTAACTGATTATACTCATGGGATTTAGCTATAGATTGTACACCATACACCTAAGCATCACATCACCTAAGTACCCCTGTTTTCAATCATTACATTATAGTGAAAAATACTTAGCAGATTCCAAAGATTTTAGGATCAAAACCCAGGCATTCACACAGAACATTTGTCAAAGACTAAGTATTCAAGGAAAATGTCCTAGAATCAAGGGGTCCTTAACTAGTTATATGCACAGTGAAATGCCCCTCCCAAATTTAATGCATCAAGGGGCTTGTTATAACTGAAAAATCTATAGCACTATGCCACAACACAATTGTCAGTAATTTTGTTCACACTTTTTTTTCAGGTTGCATTACGCCCAAATACGTGTAGGGACACCTCTGGTTTCATTTATGGTTGTACTTGACACTGGGAGTGTCATATCCTGGCTGCCATGTCATTGTGTGGATTGTGCACAAGACTTTGAGACAGACTCAGGAGAGGTAATTTTTTGTTTAAATATACTTCTTGTTTATAATGTATCTCTAATTCTATTTCTTAATTGGGGTAAAACTCTTTTTGTGGTAAACGGGAATGTGATCTCCATCATGCTACTCAACTTCAACCCTATCTCCTTTTGGAATTGCAATTTCTTTGATACCCTTCTCCAAAAATGATGTTTGTGCCGTGAAGGTTTCTCGTACCTAAAAGAGAAAATATTCTTAAAACATACATAGTATATAGAGATGCTAACCTTTTAATCTTTTATATCTTTACCCTTGAAACAGGTAAGAAATCTCCATTCTTACACACCTGAGTCATCATCCACAAGCGCAAATGTTTCTTCTGACAGTCCGCAGTGTTGGCCTAAGATGCAATGCACATCTGAAGCTCGCACGGCATGCCCCTATGAAGTCACATATGAATCATATGACACTATGACTAAGGGGTATCTAGTTACAGATGTATTGCGCTTGGAAACTTATGACAATGGACACCATGCAATTGACGCACCAGTTATATTCGGGTGCGTATCACTTTTAAATACAAATATGAATGTCAAACCTTTCATTTGTATAAATGCTAATGAGTGATGTGACCAATCAAATTCTCTTTTTTACGCCTTAGGTGTGGAGTAGTTGAAACAGGTGCTAATTTGTATGGTGGTGCAATCAATGGATTACTTGGGCTTGGCGTAGCGTCTGATCTACCATTGGATGTGCCTCGCATTTTAGCATCCAAAGGGTTGGTGCCCAATGCATTCTCGTTATGCTTTGCCTCTGATGGAAGAGGCAGGATAGCATTTGGAGACAAGGGTACCAAGGACCAAATGAAAACACCTCTACATACTACGCTAGACAAGTATATTATTTAACAATCTGTTTGGTGACTTAAGAACTACGGAGTATAATGTTTTAAAACTTAAATGATTTTTCTGTTTTGCTCAATGCAGCGGGGGTTACAACATAATGGTACAACAAATAGCTGTGGGAAATGTTGTAACCGATGTTGACTTCGTAGCTATGGTCGACTCTGGTACCACCTATACATATTTAAATGCACATGCATATGCATTTATAACAGAAAATGTGAGTTAAACGCTGCCTGCACATTTTTGAGAATGTAAATTTCTATATAAATTTGAGAACTAATGCATTTTCAATACCTTTGCAGTTTAATTCCCGTGTTAAAGAACCACGCGTTATTCTTATGAATAAAGATTCTTTTGAATATTGCTACAGTGTAAGGTGAATAGATAGTTGAGAAATGTGCTCTCATCTAATTACATTGACATTGTGTAAAATGGAAAACTTACTTATTCTACTTCTTTAAAACAGAAATGATACCACAAATTGGGCTCCTTCTTTGAAACTAAAGATGAAAGGAGGGGCCGAGTATCATGTTAGAATTCCCACCGTCACAGCATTTTCACAGGTAAGCCAAATTCTTACTTTTTTTCACCTGTTTTTATAATAAAAATACTAACATTCTTTGTACTCCATCCAGACGAACGAACTGGTCCACTGCTTGGGCATTCATCAAAACAATAATCTTTCCGTTAACACTATTGGGCGTAAGTAACTCAAGAATCAACTTGGAATCTGATTAAAACTTTTCAAAACAAACAGACACCTACATATGTTAGTAATTAGTAATTGTTGATGTTGATTGCCACAACTTCAACGCCCATGTAATTTATAAATCGTACTCCGTACTACTGGAAATTTGGATGTTTAGCTTTGTCTTAAAAACCTCTGACTTCATGCTAATTTCTTATACAATAATCTTTTCTCCAGAGAATTTCATGATGGGCTATCACCTTCTGTTTGATCGTGAAGAACCAATTCTGGGATGGAAGCCATCAAACTGTGAGTTTCCTTCTCTCCGAATCCGTCCACAAAGTCCTAATGTCCCTATATAAGACGAATTCCTAACAACTCTTTCTTTTCATGTTTTGGTAAAATTTTCTATAATTCTCAGGTATAGCTAAAGAAGCAAACACAATGAGCTCTAGCAAAGCAGAGTTGCCAAGCAAGGGAGAAAGATTAGAATTATTTTTAGTTTTCCTTTTGACATTTTCTATTGCAACTATTATGTAACTACTCTCCGCGTTACTGATTGTACATGGATGTTCTATTACTACGCCCTCTTCGTGTAATTTATCATTAGTTGTGTTAGATAATGTCTTTAATCTTAGGACATTGATTAAGATTAGTTGTATCTTTTGTATTTAGTTATCTATAGATGCTCCTATAAGATTAGGATTGTTCCTATTCCCTACTCTAGTGGGATTCAACTGGGTTGTTGTTGTTTACCCTATATATAGTCTGTATCTGTATGCTGTTCTTCACATTATCTAATCAGTAAGAGAGACAAAAATTCTGGATACATCTGTTTAATAAAGTTTTTTCCCGGGTGGGAGTTGCTAAATACTAACACATTGTTAGGAAACTAGGTCAAATGTCCATTTCCGATGTGATTGTATATTTATACGGAGCAATAAACTGGTATCGGAGCCAAACCTGGGTACTCTTTATCAGTTCGCCGGTCCAGATCAAAGCCAACAACAGGTCTGCTCGTCCAGGTTGGAATCGGTGCTATCAGCCGCTGCTGCCCATGAGCTGTTCCAGGACGGAATTCATCCCTGCTCCGCCGCTGTTGGGCGACGTCGCCGCCGATCGAGGTCATCCTAGCAATCTCCATCGATCTGACCTCAGCCGCCGCCCATAACTGACAAGGTCGTCCGAAGAGATCCTTCCAACTACCGCCGAAGCCTGCGTGGGTCTTCAATCTTAAATCACAACAAGGGTTGTAAATATTTATTAAAATTCAAAAGAAAATGAATATATTCAAATATAAATATAAAAATTTATGTGAAATTTGTACTAAATAGGACTAAAACATAAGTCATTTCTCAGACTTAAACTTTTTTATTCCCTAAATAGGATTTAATAATGTCTAGTAGGAGGAATAATGTCTAGTAATGATAGACATTTACTTGAATAATAACTAATTGATAATGACCAAAGGTACTACATTGGGAAATAAAACATATGGTCTTATATTGGAAAAGTCATTATGTTTTAATTCTATTTAGGTAAATTTTTCAAAATTTATATCTAATATATTGCTTCGTAATAAATAATGAACATAATAAATAAAGTACACGGAGTAGTACACAATTTAGCTTTTGGCTCTTTAAAAAAATATTCAAATAATTTCAAATGAATGCGTAAATACGAATTGAAATTGAAACATGAAACACTTCGTAATTGATAAGTAGGCCAGATATCAAAAGTCTATACTCCATAAAAGAGTTTATTGCACTACTATCTCATGTGGTTTGCTAAATATGTAATGATATTTTTCATTGTTTCAAAACTTACATCGTTGCTCCTTATGGTTTTAATATTCCTGCGTCAATGCCCGTTTATACTACAATACACTTCAAATATTAAAAGAGTAACATCGCTTCCTTTTATGATTTTAGAAATGTGCACCAACATCTCATCTCCTTTTTTTCTTTATTGTTTTTCTTTTTTCTTCTATTTCCTCAATACTTTTTAAGATCATTTTTAAAACATTTTCATAAATGTTTTAAATTTCTCTGTTAAAACAATCTTTATACTACTTAATGATTTAAAAATAAAAAATCCGTTTGAAATAAAAAAAATAATTAAAATAAAAATAATTAACAAACACTTCATTTATCTCAAATTAAATGGTTTTATTTTGTCCAAAAGAGATTCTTATTAGTTCAATTTCATGAAACAAAAATCAATGAAAAATTTTCTCTTTTTTTACCTTGAAGCTTATTTCACATTTTCGAGTTCTTAATTATTTTTCTCATAATAATTTTAAATTTTTTTATTAAGTTTATCTTATTTAAATCAAAATTAAAATAAAAGAAAAATAATGCTCCGTAGAAAAGAAATTGAAAAGGAAAAAAAGTATATGAAAAAAATACTTTTGTAGAATAGGAAAAATAAGTTATGAAGAAACACATTATTTTTATAAGGATGCACAGTATGGACTTAGTAAACCCTAATTTGGTACATAGCAAAATAAGTTCATGTGGCAATTTGGCAGATTGGGTAACACCATCCCTCAAGCTGAACTCGTGTGACGAGTAAAAGCTTGGAAACAAGAGCCTGGAATTACAGGGAACATAACGCTTTCATGAGTAAATATGCTAGAAGTTGAAAGACAGATGTTCCTTTGTGTGACAGACAAGCTTGATAGTGCATGATGGTGTAAATTACCACGCAAATACTAAGTATGAGTAATCGGAAGGGTTGTAGGTGGAAACACCTGTAACCCGATTTGTTATTAATGATAATAGGAGTTATTACAAATACAAGCCGTGCAGGTTAATTAAAGCGTGCCTCACAAATGAGGCTTTTAGGGGTATTTATAATAATCCTAAGCACGTCAAGCACATCTCTGATTATCTAACCGGTCAGGCGGCTGACCGGCCCACCAGGTGCACTTTGAAAGTAGATCTTCGGGTATTGGCGTCTGGTCTCCCCATCCAACCGGTCAAATAACCCGGGCTGAGAAAGACGCGTGTTGTTCGGTGAACCAACCGGGTGGTATCCTTGGGTTATTACCCATCAGTGCATGTACTGAGTTTTTTCCCAGCCGAGACTCTTAATTGGCTATTGGAGCAATGTCAAGAAGTTTCTTTTTTTCTCCTTTTACTTCACTATCTTTTGCTTCACTATCGCTTTTCAGACTTTCAAACTCTAGAAGAAACAAAGATAAATGCACTTTTGCAGCTCTTCGATCACGCACATGATTTTTTATAGAGAGGAAGAGAGATAATGAACGGTGACTGTTAGGCACGCTTGCCGAGATCCGTGGCGACTGTTAGGCACACACATAGTTTATTTTTAAGAGAAAGCCATAAGAGGCATAAGAGACGATGATGCCGTGATTTGTGGTGGTTGATCCGTTGATTGTCAAAGAAGAAGACCGGCGGTGGCGCACAGTTGTAGAAGAATGGAGACTAGGTTTATGAGGAGAAATACTTTAGCTCCAATACGATATTGAATAATGAAATAATTGTATTACTCAAGAAAATAATGAAATACAAAACTAGAGTATATATAAAGAATAGAATTCCAACTAGGAGTCTAGGACTAGGAAAATACGGAGTATCATATAAAGTGACTAAACTACAAAGTCTACCATAATTAATATTGTCTATACTAACAACAATATTAACATTTATAATTAATAATTACCCGTTTTAAACCTATTTAACTATTTAAATCACACCTACTTTTTAAACCGTGCTCTCTCAAGTCTCAACTCTCTCTAAAAAAAATAAATGTATATTTTTAGTACCATTGTTTTAGTTTACTCCACCTTTCTTTCTAGTACGGTTATGTTTAAATCTTTTTTTGTTCTGGATTGGTATTTTCTTCTTTTATGTAATACGTATCATAGTTTCATTTAAATCAACAAAATTTTATCGTGATGTTATTTTGTTAGTTAAAGACTTACAATTTGCATTTTTAAAAAATTATTGTAGCTATTAAAGAAATTAAATATTTAAAATTATGGTATTTTTTAAGTTTTCTATTTTTTATTTTTATTTTCTTTTAATGGTTTTTTGTTTAGAATATGTGTACTAAGTTGGGAAATTAGTGTATGTGTACCCTCACTTATAGTAAAATAAGTATGAAATTAGAAGAATTTGATGTGATACTGATGTGGAGGATAGAGATGATGCATTACAAAAAGTAAACAAAGTATGTATACCGTCGAGGCTAATAATCACGCATTTGGAAGAAGTAAAAGAGAGACCTAAGGTGTGAGTGAAGGGGCATGTCGGGGTTGGAGTGTGGTGGAGTTTAAGAAGCGAGTTAATGGAAGTAAAAATCATCAAATTTTCATTTAAAGCACTGAAAAAATTTCAAATAAGCAAGTATCATCAGTTTGACACTAGATGCCAGCATCAACGAAATTTTTTCATTTTATTAGACATGTGCGAATCTGGATCGATTAGAATTCAAAATCTCTTCATAGATAATTTTATAAAATTAAATTAAAGTCGATGCAATTTTGATATAAATAATGACCTAGTGGAAGAAATAATGTCCAGCAATGATGGGCATTTAGTTAAATAATGACTTCTTGATAATGACTAAAGGTCCTATATTGGGAAATAAAAACATATAGTCTTATATTAGGAAAGTCATTATGTTTTAGTCCTATTTAGATAAATTTCTCATTAGAAAAAAACACTTGATGCAATTATTGGGCGCAGAAGCCCGGTGGGTGGCCCGGCCAAGTGTGAGTGGATGTGGGTGGATTTTTAGCCTACTTGATTTGATTTGAGCTGGGACGTCCATACAAATAGACAATTGTTTAGTGTAAAGCCCGTTCTGGGTCCATCTATCTACGCATCAAAAGGCCGGTTCTTATGACATTCGAAACCAATGTCAATGTCATGGGATGACTCGGGAGTGCTCCGGTGCCCCGTTCATAAAATTGACGGTTCCTACCCCCTAATCCTCCCACCCTGCCCTGACTTGAACACGCACTTCTCATCCCCTTCAATTGCACCCCCAAGTTGATTTTGATTTTGAAATCAAAATTTTAAAGTACAACATGAATATGAAGAAGAACACTTTATCTCGAGCTCAATAAAAAAAAATCACAATCACACATATCATATTTTATTATCAGTCCAAAAAAGAAGAATAATTATAGGTCCATGGAATTGAAATACTCAAGATATGTTGTTATCATATACAACAACAAATGAAGGGACCCTTGGGGCTAACAAAGGAAATGCATCTCCCTCCGCCTTGGCCGACCTTCGCGCATCCCACTTCGCACTCCCTATCTGTGAGACAATGTGGTTTCGTTGGTCGCAAACAGTACGGCTCCACCGGACCATAAAACACATTATTATTATTATTATTATTATTATTATTATTATTATTATCGTTTGCTTCCCCATTCACCAGTATCATTTCTGGACCTTTCAATATAGATATTTCAAAATCACAAAATCATTAGGCATGTATAATAAATATCAATAGCAAAGGGTTTTTCATTTTTTCATATTTAGTCTTTTATTATCAAGTATTACCACCGTGGTCTTTTCAAAAACAGTCCTTTTTTATCTTTTGTTATATGGTGTTATTTTGAGGACTAAAGTGTAATTTGAAATTAACTTTATGTCCGGTGACATATTCTGATATGAGTTAGACGGATAACACAACAGTAATGACTATGAATGTAAATTAGGATTACGACAAAAAATCACATCTGTAGACTATATGTTGTTGTAGAAAATTACTGTAATTCACAAATGACCCATCAGGAGCGGTCTCTTAAATTGTGTATGACAAGAAAAATATATGATCATTTTGAAATTACATATTTAACCTCAAATTAAAACCAACGTGACAGAACATCAAAAGAAATACAATATGGGGAAACATACTCATAAAAGAAAGACCGTCAGGATAATATTTGATAATAGGTGACTAAATAAGAGAAATTTTCTTATTATAAAGAATCAGTTATAGAATTTACTCTAAATTCTAAAATAAAATATAATGATGATATGATACGTACTAATTATTGTAGACTCACCGGATAGTAGAAATATCATCACAAACCAACATAGTATAGCCACAAAAGTGAATCCATTGCTTCCACCAAAACCACTCATTTTTAATTTATATGATCTTATTCCCTTTTCCTACTTCAGGTATTGTTTTTCTCGTATTTTACAAAATTTAGATAGACACACAATGGTTTATATAGATATATGTTACACGCACATATTACTTATGTGTGTGTTTATTTAGATACATGAACACATGCATGATGCGTTTTTATACCACATGTCTAAATCTAGTAAAGTGTATAAATATAATTAATATTATGCTATATTTGACATATAAAAATATATACTTACTAAAATTGATATGTATTTGTAGTGTGGAGATATATATTAGAGTCCGACATCAAATCACATGTCGTTCCGTATAAACTCTATCGGGACACTATAACAAATATAATGAGTGGACCATAACATCTTGTCATACAATGATAAAGAACTGATTCAACCACCAGCTCAAATTTGTGATGGTATGCCTGTTTATATTATTCAAACAAATTTTGATTATTAGTAGTACGTAAAGACAAATTATTTAGTGGTCCTCATGTGCATACTCATCTTATGGATCTAGATACTTAAAATGATTGAGTTTTGGATCTTGTAAAAGGAAAGAAATCCATTCATATATAAGTCCATGGAAATTTTTTAGAAAATCGACCCACAGTACTATGCATGTGTACCTTAAAATTAAAATAGAATAACTCGTAAGTAAAATAAAAATTATGTTGAAACAACAACAACAACCCAGTATAACCCATGAAAATAGGATCCGGAGAGGTGTATACAGAGACCTTACCTTTATTAAAAAAATAAATATACTGAATTAATATAGCAAGATAAATTTACCCAATAAAAAATATGTTGCTTGCTAATTATAAATAATAATTTCATTTGATTTATTACAAAAATTTTTTAGTACCCGTGTCATGCACGAAGTCAAATAAAATTTTAGTCGTTTCTGAAACTTGTTCAATGTAATATTTTTTATGAAATAAAGAAAATATATTTCTCACACGATTTTTAATATTATAGCCTAAAACACTTCAGGGTATACAATATTTTTGCTATGTTTGCAAGGATTTCCATTGTCGTCTGAAACCAATATTTTACAATAATTTTTCATTCTCTATTAGATTTGGAAAAGTGAAGTCCATTATATATACTTCTTGAGGGGTGACTCGTGTCTAGAATCAAAAATTCAAGCATAATTTCAACATTAATTATTCAATCAATCACTTGTCAACCAAGCTTTAATTTCTATCTTCGACTTCGATTACACAATCAAAAAAAGCTTGTGGTTCTTATCTGCGCAAGAGAATGTAGATGAATGCAACCTCATATTCTTTGTCAATGTATAAACTTTACAATATGATTACAATTTTGAAGAATTGATGGTAGCACATACAGTTTCCTCTCTCGAATCTTTGGGTAAAACATGAAGAATTTGCCAAAAATCATATTAGAGTACAATCGTTTTCTCTTTGAATGGTTCATTTGTGGAGTTTTTATTAGATAACATCATTACGACATTACATCTCTCATTGTCTTGTGCCAAATGAGTGTGTGTGGTTTACACACCACCGAAGAGAGAGACTGATAGGGGAGAAGAAAAGGACTTCTACACAAGAATACCACTAGGAAAATTCAATGGTTTTTGGTGAGTGTGATTGAATGTGGAGACTAATTGGTATTTAGTTACTTAGAAAAATATATCCAGACACAGGCAAATTCAATGGGTCACTACAAGAAAATTGCTGATCTGCAACGGAAAAAATTCGTGGCAGAAGTTAAAATTCCATGGCAGATTCCTGTTCTGCGACGGATCTGCTACGAATTGTCTCCGTCGCAGAAAAGTTATGGCAGATTTTATATCTGCGACGGACTTTACATTCCGTGGTAGATCTGCGACGGAGCTGCAACGGGATTTCATTTTTTCATCAAACAAAATCTGCGACGGAAATAATAAACCGTCGCAGATCTGCGACGTAATCAGCAACGGAACCATCCGTCGCAAATTAGCAACAAAAATAGCAACGACGCTTTCCGCCGCAGATGACCTATTGACAGAACCAGAATTTTCCTGTTTTTGGCACTACCTATTAAAATGAGGGGGGGTGTGGGGGGGCAAAACACATTCAATCTTCACACACATAATTTTAAACAAGATTTCAACACCCAAATTGATAATTCAAATCTAGATTAATGCAAACTTTAAATGCAAATGTAACATAATTCAGTATGTTCTAACAATAAATATTAAAATGTTAGTGTCAAGTGTTTAAAATGGAGGAAACTAAGGTCGTAAAGGTCTCAACAAATCCCGGGCTGCCCTGCCCCTCCCGTTTCATCATCATCGCCTCGTCGAGGAAGGTTACCACCATATAGCTTCCTTATCTCCTCCTGAATTGTCAGCGACAAGTTCGAGGTTAGACTATCAATTTGTTCCTGCAGCCTTTGGTTTTGCTCTTTGAGTGCTGATATCTTCGCTGTGCTTCTACTACTCGTGCTGGAAGGCGGGGTTTGGAGGACGGATTCATCTTCCTCATTTCCCGCTCGTAGTCACCAACTCCAGGAACGCGGTTCTTCGCGTTATGGCCCTCAACTAACGAGTACCATATTTCTTCGTCGGTGACTTGCAACCCATTCTGTCTAGCTTCCTCGCGCAATTCGAAGAATTGAGCCTGAAATACATGGTAGTTAATAACACACAACAACGCAATAATAATAGCGTCAAGAACAGCAAGAAAAACAACAAAAACAAGAATAACACAAGAACTTAACAACTAACATTACCATGGATCAATAACAACGTAACATATACTTAGTGTTGACAGCACCATCAACGCAACAACAAGAATAGGTTGTCATAGGACAACAACACCATCAACGCAACAACACAAATAGTGTCATATGACATCAACACCACCATCAATGCAACAACAATAATAACAACACGATTAACAATAACATCAACAACAAGAATAACGTCAACAAGAATAATATAATTCATGTACACAAGCTAAGATATCGATAAAGTATCACCCTTTAGAAGTTTTAAGACAAAAGCACCAACATTATGAACATGAACACAAACTGTTATGCGCATAACAGAAACTACCTGTAGCTCAGCATGTTCAGGATCCACCCAAGTCTTGTCGTCGTGCTTCTTTGTCTTTATGTGGATGATAACCTCATCTAACGACACAGGCCCCCCTTTCTTCTTAGTCTTCAAGTTTCAATGAACATGTCCATTAAATTTTACATTTAATGTCCACCAAATTAAATAACAAGTGCAAATATATTATTTTATAAAATATATCATACCAATCGATTCATATTTTCAGAAAATGGAACTGAACCTCCACAATACGTCCCAAGAGCAGGACCATCCTCTTTTCCCTTCCTTCTGTTCTTCTTCTTAATCTTACTCAACTCCAGAAACTCCGGATCCTCTTCCCAAACCTATACTTGTATATTTCATAAAAATTACTTGTACATAGCGATACGATTTCGTATGAAAACTATTACTAATTTACCTTCTTCAACTGCTCAAATGGCCTCGGGTCCATCTTCTTCTTCTTCAATCGACTTGGGTTCCTTTGATTGTACGTAAAATTCGCGTACCGTTCAGCAGCTTTCATGAGAAAAGCTTTCCGCAGCCTGCCCTCATCGATTGACGGATCCACTCTAGCATTTTTCTACATTGACATCATAGAAAAGCCAATAATTTAGACTCTATTCACATATATTAATTTTCTTGTGATCAAAAGAAGTTAAAAAATAATTTTTCCAAAAAAATCTTGAACTCTCGATAGTAGAACTCCTTCGTTGTCGCTGAGACTTTGCCCCACGACATGCCAGTTGTGTCCGTCCTCTCGTAGAATGCCGGTGTGATGAGACCAGCACCAGCGCTAGTGATTGTAACCCTACAAACATATATAAGTAGTGAACATAAAATCGTTAGGTATTTGTAAATGTTTTATGTCATACCATAATCTTCAAATGTACACCGTACTTACTCGTCATCCGAATTGACATACACGAACTGACCCTGATGACCAAAACCCTCGTGATATCTACCCTCCTCGTCCTCGTGATCGCGGTCCTTGCCATCTCGAGCCCCACCACTCTGTCCATCGCTAACGCAGTCCTTGGAGTCGTGGTCATCACCACCTCCGTCCTCCTGATCCTCAGTACTCTCCCCGACCCTAGATGTTATTTACACAATAACACAATAATACATGCATTAAAAAGAGCTATTAACAAGTGTAGACATTGTTTCAGTTTCTTGATAAATGAAACATCACTCTAATGGCTTATCCGTTGGAAATTTTACTATATTAGTCTCTAAGAGCAGAGTTGCATACCTGACGTACAAGGGCCAGATGGCGCAGTTCGTGGGGTGGAGGGGGACACCTGTGTGTTAGTGAATGGACTCGAGGAAATAGAGGGAGTGCCTGTGGATGTAGTGGCTGTGCTCGATCCCTGGCAAGAAGAGGGTCTCCATCTACCAATGACGGACCTCTTCAAACGTGTCAACACCTCTCTATCAGTCTTCGTGGGGGGAGGGGGGGTTCTCATTATCGCTCATCTGTACAGAAATAAAAATATTGTGTAGTTAGCTCATGAAACAAAATAAATTTCATATACCAAATAATTGGGTGTGAATCCAAACCGCAAAATGTGCTCCAGCATATTCTTTGATGAGCAAAACTTGATGTTCTTACATTTCTTGCAAGGACATCGCATTTTCTTGTTATCCAACCTATCTACATTGGGACTTGACTCACAGTACTCTACAAACTCAACCACGTTGTCCACCCATTCTTGACTAACAACACCTTCTCTCTCATATTTCTTATACATCAACTCACGATTTTCGAATGGACTCATTTTAGAAATGCCTGATAATTGAAAAGCAGCAAACAACAATCATTTAACCAAGAATATCAACCACATTTATAACCAACAACCATGGCAACAATAAAGGCGGATAACAAACGACAATCTTATTAAGCCACAAACAACAATCATTTAACTACAAATATGAACGTATAATGCACTCAATTTCAAAAAATTCAACTAAATTTTACCTAAATTCTCAATAAACGCCAAATTCACTCACACAATTTCAACTAAAATTATACCTTAAATGCCATCAATTTCACCAAAAAGTAATGTAATTTTTACCCAATTTTATGTTAATTTCATCTCATATTCACACAATTTCAACTAAATTTCACCAAAAATGCACTCAATTTCACACAAACAAATTCAATTTCATCAATAATAATAATAATAATAATAATCAATTGTATAAAATTAAACAAAAATACCTCTAAGTTCACTGCAAAGAGGAAGAGGAGGTCCGGCGGGGGAAGAGATGGCTGGCAGTGGAGTACTAGCGGCGGCGACGATGGGTGGCAACGGCTTGTGGACGGTGTGGCTGGGAGACGGCGTGGCTGGGCGAACGGCGTGGCTGAAGGGTCCGGCGTGGTTGGAGACGACGGCGGGGCTGGCGAGGACGTGCGTCGGCAGCGAGGACGGGCGTCGACGGGTGGCGGAGGGCTGGCATTCGAAGGACAGGAGAGAGAATTGGGATTAGGGTAGAATGACGGACGAATGGCTGGGAAAAAACCAATCTCGATTTTTAGTAATTCTCTGCGACGGAATTAAAATTCCGTCGCAGATAATCAGGTCAAAATTTGACCAATTTGAATTTGCGACAGGGGCAATATTCCATCGCAAATCGGCGACGGAAATATGACATCCGTCGCAGATATTGCGTCTTTTTCAAGAATTATTATTCCATCGCTGATTCGTTGCAGATCTGCTACGGAAATTGGTCCGTAGCAGATATCCGTTGCAAACCAGACAAATTCTTGTAGTGGGTTTTGATATCCTCTCAACCATCCATTACAACTGCCATCCCTTCACCGTTGTTATTTACCTTGGAACTCGTAACAGTCAATGAAGAAAGTTAATTAAAGACGAGGATAATAATATATACATAAAAACTTCAATGAAATAAGTTGTAACAAAAAATTACTTCCTCTGTCCCAATTTAAATTGCCGATTTACTATCCATTGGGTAAGACTTTATTCAATTTGTTTTTCTATTTTCATTAGTTACTTGATAAAACAATATAGCAGCATAATATAAGGCCGCATTGCCGATGTGGGATGAACAAGTTAACACGCCCCCCGCACACGAGGCGCAGATAACTGCGGGCGCGATTCTAACATCAATGGCTTAACTCTAATACCATGTGGAGAATCGGAAGAAGATGAGAAGACAACAGAATGATTTTTTAGTTGTGCTTAATAAATCATTCTGTTGTGTTCTTGATCCGATTCTCCACATTACCAACACAAGTCATGGATGAAAAGAGATTACAACCAGGATGATTTGAAGAACTTGGGTCTCAAGGCATTCATGTACATCAAGAGAGATGGGAACTTGGGTCTTTAATAATAAAATAATTTTTATTAATCACAATACATCTTTTTTTGAGAAAAAAAATAAAAAGAATGACTTGTCATTGTAGGGGTTGCTACTCCACACACATACCACTCTATGACTAAATTATTTCTTATTGATTGAAATACGCCACGTCAGTGTGTGTCATTTGCTGTTACAACAACAAACGAAGGCGTTGGGACTATCAAAAGAAAGGCATGCCCCTCCACTTTTGCCGGCCTTCGCACATGCCACTTCGCACTCCGCATCTGTGCGACAACGTGGTTTTGTTGGCAGCAAACAACCTGGCGGCCCCACCAGACCATATAACACATTTTTATTATGATTACCATCATCATTTGCTTCCCCATTCACCATCATTCCTGGACCTTTCAATATACATATTTCAAAATCACAACATCATTGGGCATAATATAATACGGAGTATATAATATATATCAATAGAAAATTAAAGAAGTTAATATGCGTAAATGGGATAAAGCGGCTGTGTCTCTGAGTTGTATTTATAAGCTGGTCAAAACTTTTTATAAATAGTTTTTAACTTATAATTCAATTGATGACATGTTTCTATGTGCTTATAAGTTGCTTAGAAGACAAAAAAATAAATACGTCTTTGCCACTTATTTTTAAGCCAGTTTCTTCACTTCTCCGTTTTGATCAAATTATTTATAAAACTGTCCATCATCATTTATGAATATTTGCAATTGACGTATCTATCATTTAAGTCATTACATTTTCACAAAAAATATGTTTGACTTATTAGCATCTTGTAAGTTAAAATTTTTTATCAGCAATAAGTCAATATGCACCATCATAGAGAAACATCCACAAAATTATTAGGCATAATAAATATCAATAGAAAATTAAAGAGTTCAAATTATTATGCATAAATCAGATAGAATACTATCTCTGTCTCAATGTATTTGTCTAGTCAAACTCTACAAACTCTAAGCCTTAATTAAGTAAAAACTATAATGAATATGAGTATAAAAACGATTTTAATATATAATCCCTCCTTCCCTCTGTATTTGTTCACTTTCATTTTTGCACACCATCCAATGCGCTTCTTTAATCCATTTTATATTGTAATTTGTATATTAAAAAATTATATATTAATAATCTATATGTTAAGACAAATCTTAATAATCCCTCTGTATTAATAATCTTAAATTATATATTAATAATCTTAATAATCCCTCTGTATATGTTTGATCACACATGACTATATTTAGGCTTACACATTGAGAGAATTTGATGAGTCAAAGTGCTTAGATGAACAGTTCCAAAAGTCAAATGTGAACAAATACATGGGGACGGATGGAGTATAACTTGTTTTGAACTTTCAAAAGTTTATTCTATAGTATTAATATGCAATACAAATTAAGAGTAATTCATAATTAAAATTTGTCTATTTTGACCTGAAAAAGTCAAACTAGACAAATACTCTGAAATAAAAAGAGTAAATATAATGATGATATCATAGTAATTATTGTAGACTCACCGGATAGTAGAAATATCATCATAAACCAACATAGTATAGCTACAGAAGTGCATCCATTGCGTCCACCGAAGCCACCCATTTTTCTCTGCTCTTGTTAGGGATTTTGTTTTTCTACTTTACGTACTCTGGGTATTATTACTTTATTTTCTCGTATTTTACAAAATTTGTACAGACACAAAATCTTATATATAGAGATGTTGCATTCATATATTATTTATTTAGATACATGAACCCACACAAGCTAAATGTCGTCTAAATGTAGTAAAGTGTATAAATTAATATTGTTCTATATTTGACATAAAAAAAATATATACTTACTAAAATAGATTGCGTATTTTTTGTGTGGAGATATATGCATGCTAGAGTCCCATGTCAAAACTTGAAAGAGGACACAATTATGTTGGATGAACCACATGTAGTCAGGTATATATATGAATTGAATTTTAGGGATACTGTAACAAACGAGTGGATCAAAACATATTGCGATATAATGATAAAAACTCATATATTCATTCACAAGCTTGTGATGGTCAGCATATTAAAAAAATTATATTCAAACAAATTTTGATTATTAGCAAAGGCAAATTCTTGTATATAATACGGAGTAATTGTTATTGTCAAAAGAACCGAGCCATTTATTTATTATATATAGCTAAATCCGTGCCTATTGGTTAGAATAAACGTCATCCGACAACACCGTTAGCGTCTTAACGTTTACGCTATTGGCACGGAATTTGGCACGGACAAATGCAAAGCTAAATTGAAACGCAAATAGAAACACGCCATGTGGCTACTTTCTTTTTTTTCGGCGTAGTCACGGCATGTCCGTGCCTAATATTTCGTGCCAATTCCAAAAGTTTTTTGTAGTGATACTTCATATCTCTTGCCGTTGCGACATATATAGCTCAGCGGTTGGCATAAGGATGCTACAAGGGCAAGATCCCGGTGGCTGCAATGAGAGACAATCATGCAAAGCATGAGATTTCTGCAAGTATCAGGCACAAAACCTGAGTAAGATTATAATTTAATTTACATCCTCTTACCTAACTATCACGAGTGTGCTAAGTGACCTTCGGAGATGGAGTGTCATCCTTTTTTCTCTCTTACAAAAAAAATATTGTTGATTTTATACTAGTGATAGGTTTCAACCACTACTCGTTTGCCCTCAGATCAGAATTCGCGTAAGCTTCAATTTCGCGGAGAAAGATTGCATATATTTCATGCACATTTCCTCTCTGTCTCTCCCTGCTGTGATGTAACCTTTGCCCTGCTTTTTTTTCTCTCCTCTTTTTGTTTTAACAAATATAACCTTTGCCCTGCTGTAGATCTTATAAACCAATTTTGGTAAAGGGCAAAAGTTGATATAATGTGTATTTTATGACCATCTACTGGGTTCAATTTAACTTTGCTGCTTTTAAATGATCTCTGAATTTTTTCAAGGATCTTTTTGTAAATAGACCTGATCGAAATGATCTCTCATTTCGTTGAACGTAGTTAGAAAGACCGGGTTTCAGGTTGGGTCGAGACGTTACATGACAAGGACTTTCTAGGCTCAAACCCACCCCGACCCGCATTACAGGCCTACCATTTGCAGCCCTAGCCCGGCCGACACAAGAACATGCGGGCTTTGGGCCAGCCCGATTGCTAAATTAAGAAGCTATGTGCGGAATTACTTATACGTCTAGCAATTTTTAGAACACTACTAGACTGGTTACAACAAATGAATTCAAGTGTTACATCTCAATGGCATGCAATGCAAGTAGTTTTAGTTTGAGCCAAACTCTCGGTTCCACTGCTCAAGTTCTTCCCACTTGCTTTTTTGGAGACTAGGCCTGATCACAGACATTGCCTTCTCAAAGTCTGCATACCTCAGGCCTCGCACCTGGAAACCATCCCCCACTTACATATTTATTCCCAAACCAAACCAAAAAATCATACCAGAAATATATGTAGCAATCATGGCGCGCACTATAAAGATATGGTCTACCTGGTTCGCGCTCACTCTAAGAATGTCAGAACCAAGCTCTCTGATTGGCATCATTGCAGCTTCCTCACACAAGGCCTGAAGGTCACTTCCAGAATACCCTATCAAACAAAAAGTTCAGTGGAACAGCAATGTCCTGTATATGTATGTCCATAAACTGTAGAACTATTCCAAATCAAAACAAATTGGTAATGACCAGTGAGAGTAGTAACTCATATTCTTAAATGTTACGGAGTAGTCTCAACATGAACGATAACCATTGCATAAGCTTTCCCTACCTTCTGTCTCTCTCACGAGCCTGGTGAGATCTCCATCTGGCAAAGATAAATGACCGAACGAAGAACGTGTTAGCTAACAAAGAGAAGTTCAACTCAAAACAAGTAAAGTAGCATTGGACATGGAGCTACCAAAAGGCTCACCGGGCAAAGAGAACTGTTTTCCCTTTAGTCTGTGTTTTAGGAGTTGTCTTCTAACACTGGCATCTGGCAAAGGTATATATATTCTCTTCACCTGTCATGTGGTAGAAAGAAAAAACAGAAGTGGATATTCTGTTTGTGAAAATACAAAGTAAAGTGGATAATAATATTACTCAGTAATAATTATTATTATTATAACAATGGTAAGAATAGTAATAATAATAAAAGTCAAAGCCCCCATACTAACCAATCTCCTGAGAACTGCATCATCCAATTCATGTGGCTTATTTGTCGCACCTAAAATAACAAGCAGATAAGTTAAAATATGTTATATGGTATAACATTTGGAGAAAAAAAAAGACTAGATGTTTCAAACTAACAATTTAGACAAGATAAGATGAACAGAAAAGCAGGGGGGGAAATTACTCTGTGCCAAAATGAAGTTTACGTTTTCCTTTCTGGGATGTCCCAAAATAGAGTTTACACTTTACACTTACTTTCTAGATAAGGAAATGAATGTGGCTTACAACATTTCTATCACCTCCATACAAATTTCAATCACACTTTTACTTTTCAACACTTCTCTAAAACTCCATGAAGTCAAATTGTAAACTTCATTTTAGAACGATAGGAGTATATGAAGGAGAATCATGATACAGCCATAAATCTGGTTGCATTGATAATAGCAAACTTGAAAAATGCAAACTGAACACATGACATGACACAGCAAGGAGCAATTTCATACTACGAAATTATAAGTGCATCTTACCAATAACAATTACCAAATCATCTGAATTAGATGTAACCCCATCAAACTGGATAAGGAACTCAGATTTCAACCTCCTGCTGGCTTCATTCTCATTGGCCATCCTAGTTGACATAATACTGTCAATCTGTTAACCACATAGATATTATCAAAGTAAGAATCACATAAAGGACAATACAAACAGCGAGAAAAGTAACCAATACAATTCCTTTAAGGCCCATTTTTAGAGACACGAAGGAAACATATATGCTGCTGCTTCTTACTCTATTTTTCCTCTAATTTGACCTGTTAACTAAAATGCCAAACTTTAGCAGCCAAATGCAATTTTAGCCAAAGTTTTAGATCTCTGCAAAACGTAGTTATGTACCAACAGCGTTTTTTTTCAATTTTAGCCAATTGCCCAACTCACATTTTTGGTTAAACTTTAATCTGAACCGCATTGTGATATGAAATTATGAATCCGTCTCCAAATATCTGTTTTCCCACCTTGCCACCACCAGAGTGATTAAATAAACCTAGTCCTAACCCGAGTGATAATGCTAACAACATATGTTTCACATAAACATGCAAAGATCCCTTCCGCCCTCCCTGGAGAGAAAAGAATTGACAACCCAGCAAAACAACCACCAACTTGTCAGTGTTATAGATAGGCCGTACCTCATCCATAAAAATTACTGATGGTTGCCTAGAAATGGCAACCGTGAAAAGGGTTCGAACAAGCTTTTCACCCTCTCCCACCTGTCAAAGGCAAAGAAAAAGAGAAACTAGAACACTTAATATTAAACTTTATGAGCAAAAAAACCAGCAGCCAAATGAATCACTCACCCACTTTGATGTTAGGGAGGAAGCAGATACGTTGAAAAATGTTGCCTGTGACTCTGAAGAAACTGCTTTGGCAAGCATGGTCTTGCCGGTACCAGGTGGACCAAAAAGAAGTAGACCTGCAAGACACAAGACACAGAACTATTGTCATAAACGGCCTCTGTTCCTTAGGTGATAAGAATGGCATTGGTCTCTGTGAAAGAATACCTCTTGCAGGCTTTCTAAGTCCTGTAAAAAGGTCTCGCCTTTTGGTTGGCAGTATTACCATTTCCAACAGAGCTTGTTTTGCATTTTCAAGCCCAGCTGTAGAAATTTAAATTTGTAAATTGCAAAACATTAATAGAATAAATATTGGAACAAATGGAATATGACAGAAAGATTCTCACCAATGTCTTCCCATTTTACAGAAGGACTTCTATCAACAATCACGGAATTTATCATTTCAGTCAACTTTACATCATATCCACCACCGGACTCTTGTACAGGTTTTGAGCTACCAACTTTTGTAGATTTGATCCTAATATCATCCCTGAGCTTATTGGATCCAGAAGGCTTTTCAACTGCAGATTTTCTAAGATAAGAGCTTGTAGGCGAAACAGATGCATTCTGGACCCGAGGAGCGCCACTCTGAAAACAAAATACTCCATAATAATTTTCAGAAAGCATAGCACCTAAGCCAAAAGTCTGGTGATGGAGGATATTCCCACCAAGCCAGTGGAAATTCACAAAAGGTTTAAGTAGTTTAATCTATCCACATAGCCCTTACGAATTAGAGAATTTGAGGAAAAGAATGGAGTTGAAATGCCAAACAATTCAGTAGATATTTTTTAGAATAGTCTTGAAATGCTTCGTAATAAAGCATAACGTCCCAAGACTCCCAACCCAGCTGGTTTATGAAACCAATGCACGCGAATCAGAACATGACAAACTTACACTTTGTTCGAAGCAGACCATACCTTGATTACAGCAGATGTACTACCTGAAATTCCTGTCAACATGAGGAGAATGAATTTAACTATATATCTATAATTTATAACTAGTCTCCAATTTCCCTAATCCAAGAACACAGTTTGAAAACAAATGGATTCAAATACAGACAAGAACTAGACCTGGTCTTCGACTTAAAGTTTGGATTCTATCTGCAATCTGTCCCTGCCACTGTGACATCCTTTGGCGAAAAGATTTGGCCTTTTCTAGTTCACTGGCACAAAACACTAAAACAGCTAACCAACAACTCATTCAACAGTAAATTGTAGTAATTGCCAACAGTATGCCAAAACATTTTCAGTTCAAGAAAACATAGTACACTGTACACAGAAGCTCAACATCAGATACAGCAATTGTGTGTGTGTGGTGGGGGGGGGGCTTAAATGCCTCTCTTTAATTTCTTTCAACATTTGTTTTTAACTTGGCTACTCATTAATTATCAGTAACCCTTTAGCACAACATAAATGACATGTACATCTGTGCTCCAACTGAATCATATTTTGTACAATGTGCAGCAATGAGGCTATCTAGCTGAAGCAAAAGACTTGTGCAAAAATCCAGTAGCTGACTCTAATAAGCTCCTTAAAAGTATTCACCATCTCTTATACTCCCACTGTTCTAAAATTAACTTCTCATTTGACTTTCACGGTCTCCAATGCTAAACTTTGACCATTAGTATCTCTATTCATATATAAACATATATTATAAAAATTAATTTTTTCAAAACTATGTTTCAAAATGAACCTATTGATATTAAATTTTTATGCAAATTCAATGTATTGTTTCCTTAAAATGCCGAAAAAAGTTCAAGAAGTTTGGAGGGAGTAATATTTTAAGAGCAATTTAACGATAAAGCACTTCCTCAAAGGAGCATACAAATATTCAGTTTTTTTGGTACCTAGAGCACCAAATCAAACTACCACACAAAAAAATGGAGCACCTTGATGTGATGTATGAAGGAACAGGGGTAGAAATGCCTTCTGCAAGAACTCTCTGGGCATTTTGGTAGTGCGAAACAGCATCGTCGGCCAAGCCCCATTCCTCGGCCCGGACAGCTTTGGCGATCTCTTCTTTGGCCAAATCGAAGTAGCTTTTGAGCTTGTAAGCCGTGCGCTCGTTGCCGGTGCTGACGCCGTCCATTGATCGGCCGCCAGGGTTTTGATGAGATTCAGGCGAAGAAGAAGAAGACGGTTGCTGTTGATAGCGGAAGATCGAGTTCACGGTATCCACCAATTCCTTGAGAAAACTCATACCTGAAACGCGATCACATAAATTACTGAGGATTTTTCACAAATTAGAGGAAATTAGGCCTTCATAATAGACGAATAGAGAAAGGGAATAATCACCATGCTTATGAATTCATATGATCGAACTTCTGCCCCGTTCAATTCTTGGTCGTCTCGGGTTGCTTTCAAAGAGCATCCACTTGTGATAATTAATTAATTACCCACTTTTGTAGTTAATACTCTTTCTTCTCAAAATTATCTACACTTTTGTAATCTTTAGTATGAGGAATTAAATGGGCCTCTTTGGGAATAGCGTTAGCGCTTTGGATAAAATTTTAACGGTGCAGATTAATTTGAAAATGCTAACGCTAAACGCTGCCCGTAGATAGCCTTTTGAAAACGCTAACGCTAATCTCTAACGCTATTCCCAAACAGGCTCAATATATTAAGTACATTGAAGTGAAAACATGGAGTTTATAAATGTAAATAAATAAAAAATATGTTTTAAAATGAACATAATTATACGGAGTATTCAGAAACATTATAAATAAATAAATCTTTTCATGATTTTTGTTCAGAATGACTAGAAAATAAAATTAGAACAATAATTTTGTGTTAGAAAATTAAAAGTTTATTAAAGTAAAACAAATCCCTAAATAAAAGCCAAAAATGTAAAATTATTTTTATACTTATTGTATAGAAAAGTAAAATTACTTCGTAAAATATATAAAGAGTTTTGAACGATCAATAGTCGGCGCTCCGATGACCGACTAGCGACATGCTTTGGCAACCGACAGCGATAGGGTACGATGGTACCATGGCGAGTGTACCAGTTAGAATGTAATAATGAAAGTACGAACTCTTATTTTCATTTTAAAAGACTTAAAACTCATATTCTAATATTTTCATATGTGGTAATTCTTTACTTTGGAGAATTTTTACGGTTGAGATTTCCCTTTTTAAAACGTAACAAAAATATACTCTCTTTATCGCATAAAAAGATTTCATAGTTCTTTTTTTCTCTCATCCAAAAAATTGAATAATTTCTATTTCTTAAATTATTTCTCGTTAGTGTATTGAATTATCATATAGAGTATAATTTAATAACAATAAATGCATTATGAAATATAGTTTTAAAATATTATATTTTTTATTATATACAAATAGAGATACTAATGAAAGTGTTATATTAGAAACCGTTAAAATTTAAATAAGATTCTCCTTTCGTCTTAAAATGTTTTTACTCATTCTATTTATGAGGTTTGACCGATTTTATTTTAAATTCAATTTATTTAACTGTAGGTATAAAATTAAAAAATAAAAATTATATATTTAAAAACCATGTCTAAAATTCTACTCCCTCCGTCCTATATCTTTAGGACGGATGGAGTATTAAAGAAGATGTAACAACTAACAAGAGTTTGTTGTAAGCCAACTTCATTTAAGGACCATGCTACACTTACACCAAAAAATATACCCCATTTGTACACCATAGGTTTGCACAAACATTTCGATGGTTTACACCGACACAAGTGTTGGTGCGTTAATAAAAATTCACACGGACACAAATGTTGGTACATTTAACAAAAATTAGTTTCACACCAACACTTTGTGTTGGTGCAAAACTACGGGTACAAATTGGGGTGTACACATAGCATAATCCTTCATTTAATTCCCCACCCATCTCCTATCTTAAAGTTGTTTGTCTTTGTGATACCTGCCGTTTAGGCACATACTCTTCATCATCATCATCATCTTGAGCCACACACCAAAAGTTACCATTATTTCAGACGAGAGCAGCCCTGCCATGGACGCTCTTCCTCTTCTTCATCTTCTTCCACAAACTCCGGCAGCCTCCCCCGCACTAGCTTTCCTCACTCTCTGCAATCTCGGCCGTCCTGTACTTTCTTCTCAGATATTGGCAAGGTGACGGCGCGAACAAGAAGAAGAAGAAGAGGTACCATCCCGTCGCCGGCACCGTCTTCGACCAGCTAAGAAATTTCAACCGGCTGCACCATTACATGACGGATCTCGCCGGAAAGTACAAAACTTACCGGCTAATCAACCTTTTCCGGTCCGAAGTTTATACTTCCGACCCCGCTAATGTTGAGCATGTTCTCAAAACCAACTTCGACAATTATGGCAAGGTCTGCGGTTTTATATATTCACCTGAATCCCTCCTCTTTTTTTTTTTTTTTTTTATCTAAGTGAATTTTAAGATTTCATAGACATATCTTGCATGTTCTATTGTTCTTGTATAAATTATTATTGAGCTTGATATAACAGTTTTCTTGTTAAAGAAATCTCCCTACTGTAAAACAAAACAGAAGTGAACATATTTTAGTTCCCTAAATAGGAGTGTTATGCCAGTACGCTATAGAAGTGCAGTGTCATGGTAGTGCAAATAGATTGTCCCTATGTCCCTAAAAGAATACTGAGTAAAAGATTGTCTTAGTTTGACCTTTTTGGTCAAAGTGTGGCACCCTTCGATCCCAAATTAAATACCCCGGAGTATAATTTAAAATAATTAAATATTATTAAAATTTCATGCACCAATTTCAAAGCTATATTTTAAAATAAGACCAAATTATATTAAATTTACAATATAACTAGATATACTTTTTCCACAATTCTCGGTCAAAGGGTGCCACAATTTGACCAAAAAAGTCAAACGGAGGGAGTAAAATAAAAAAAATAAAAAATAAAATAATAAAGCTGTTTGGTCAACAGTGACTATCGGTCAACAATGGTCAACCAACCGACTCATATTTTGGTATTTTCATATTCATTTACTCTAGTTTGAAATTGCAAAGAGAGTAATACTTAAAATGTGCTAAATTGAACTATGTGCAGGGGTGTTACAATAATACTATCCTGAGGGACTTGTTAGGAGATGGGATATTTACGGTCGATGGGGACAAGTGGCGGCAACAGCGCAAGGTGTCGAGCCACGAGTTTTCTGCTAGAGTTTTGAGGGACTTTAGCAGTGTGGTGTTTAAAAGAAATGCTGTAAAGCTTGCCAACATATTGTCTGAAGCTGCAACTTCTGAGAAGACAATTGATATCCAAGTTAGTTAGAGTTAGCTTCCTCATTTTTCTGCATACCTTGCTTATCATTGGACTCCATGTTTCATAGGACCAAACTTGAGCCTATGAAAAAAATGGGTTTTACAAGTGAATTGCCATTTGATGATGCCTGAATCACGTGTGTTTGTAGGATCTGTTCATGAAATCTACTCTAGACTCGATTTTCAAAGTGGCATTTGGAGCAGAACTGGACAACATAAGTGGGGATTCAAGTGATGAAGGTGTGAAATTCAGCAGGGCCTTTGATGATGCGAGCGCATTGACACTCTGGCGATACGTGGATGTCTTCTGGAAGCTCAAAAGAGCACTTAACATTGGGTCAGAAGCCAAGTTGAAGAAGAATATCAGAATTGTTGACGACTTTGTGTACAAGCTCATTCAAAGCAAAATCCAGCAAATGCAGGTGGCTGGGGATGAAAATGACTCTTCATGTGTAGGTGATTTCATCACAGTCCTCCCCTTTTTTAAGGCTTAAATATAATGTTTGCCCTTAGTTTTTCCAAACACAGGTTTAAAGTGAGAGGGAAAAAGAAAGCAAAGTAAAAACAAAACAAAAAAATGCATTTTTTTCTGGAATAACATTTATCAACATATCGAGTCTTCTTTTGGTGTACCTTAACTTATACCTAGTAATACTCAAAACATTGCAGTTGGGGTGGAAGAAAGAAGACATTCTGTCGAGGTTTTTGCAGGTGAACGAAACAGACCCAAAGTACCTGCGAGACATCATTCTGAACTTCATCATTGCTGGCAAAGACACTACTGCAACAACTCTGTCATGGTTTGTGTATATGCTTTGTAAGTATCCTTCGGTGCAGGAAAAGGTGGCGCAGGAGATCAGAGAAGCCATCGGGACATCCGATGATGTGAAGAGCTTTGCAGATTTTGCTGCCAATTTGAGTGAAGAAGCTTTGGAGAAGATGCAATACCTTCATGCTGTGCTGACCGAGACTCTCCGGCTTTATCCTGCAGTTCCTGTGGTAATAAATTTAATTTCTTTTTTTTGTAGTTTATGCCTAGTGTGCAGCTTGTGGTTGCTTGCTTTGTATAGTTGCCTTCTTTCGTCTATGGTTGAGCTTTTATATATTTTTTTAGGGTTTGGATTGTTTTTCGGTCAGTCTACTTACACACTCTTCGGGCTTACTTTTTTTATGGGATTTTAATGAGTGTTTTTTTTGTCAAAATAAGTGATTCAGATGATCGAAAATAATGCTCAACTCTAAAGAACTTCACTTTTTTTTTTGTGAAAATTTTCTTATTTTACCCTACAATTTTACTTTTCACTTCTACTTTGGTGTTAAATATGATGGGTAAATCATCTTTTTATACGTGTTTCTTAACCAACTATGGAAAATATAAGTTTGTTGTTGGAGAGTCTTAATTCTAAATGAAAAAAATTGAAGTTCTTTTAGAAACAGAGGGAGTACTAGTTACTCCTGAGTCCTGAGTAATACATTCAAATAAATAAGAGCAAGGTTCTGTTGAGTGTTGACAACAAAGAATGGTGTCATGGCATCTCCCTTATCGTAGCCTAGTCCTGTACCCGGGGGCAGGGGCGAACTGAGATTAAGGAGGTGGAAACCTTTTCGGGGTTAAGACTTATGGGTGATGTCAAAAGAACCCACTAAAGAAGTATGTCTGGAATAGATCAACAACTGACCTGAATGAAATTGTGTGTTTCTGGGAATAGGATCCAAAAATAAGCTTGTCAGATGACACATTACCGGACGGGTTCAGCGTGAAGAAAGGCGATATGGTGTCTTACCAGCCATATGCAATGGGACGGATGCAATTCATATGGGGTGAAGATGCACTAGACTTCAAGCCTGAGCGATGGCTCGACCAGAATGGCCACTTCAGGCCCGAAAGCCCCTTCAAATTCACAGCTTTTCAGGTATCTTAGCAGCCATTCTGGCACTGTGATGAGTACGGGCTTGCTCTCTTCACCTTTGAATTAGTTCTGATATGATTCTAGCTGTATTTAAAGCTGTTTCTGATCTAATTTTAATAAAAATAAGTAATAAGAATAAGTTGAAGAGAACATGCTCTACATTGCGGTTTTACTAGCATATGTTCTTTGTAACTGGACATATTTTGGAAAAAAAACAGGCGGGGCCGCGGATATGTCTAGGGAAGGAATTTGCATACAGGCAGATGAAGATATACTCTGCAATTTTGGTAAGGTTCTTTGCCTTCAAGATGACTGATGAAGCCGCGGTGGTGAACTACCGGACTATGATCAATCTGCACATTGATGGGGGGCTTCTCCTCCGCCTTCGCCGCCGCAAACAGTAAGGCTCAGTTTAATACACTGAATTGGAATTGAAATTCTATGGTATCGAAATAGATGAAATTGAATTCTAATTCGATTTCAAATAATTTGTTTGGTATATTTAAAGAATTAATATAAAATAGTATTGTAATTCCAAATCCTTTGTTTGGTAACACAATTGTATATACAATTGATATAGAATTGTATTTTGGCTTTCAGTGATTGATTATTGATTGCTTGTATTAGCTGTTTTGAATGATAGATGAGTTTAGCTGGTTTGACCGGCAACATGTTTTGGCAGAACGTTTAATTTTTAAAATTTTAATCATTAGTTTTAAGTTTTAAATTTAAAATTAAAATGTAAAATTTTAAATTTTTAAGTTTTTATTTTAATTTTTTTTTAAGTTTTAAATTTTAAATTAACATTTCAAACATTTATTTTTTAATTTTAGTTTTAAATTTTAAATTTAAGTTTTAAAATTTTAAGTGTTAATATTCTTAATTTATAGTTTATAATTTTAAATTTAAATTTTAAGTTCTAAAATTTGGAGTTTAATTTTTTTAATTTATAATTCTTTGTTAAAAATTTAATGTTTAATTTTTTAAATTGAAATATATTCTGTAAAATTTTATTTTTATTTTTTTTGCGTGTTGAAGTTATTTTGAGAATATTTTTGACATTTTAGGTGGGGTATAACTGCTTTGTAGTATGCACAAAAAATTAGGACAAAAGTGTTTTCTAAAACAGATTCAATAATATTTATCTTCATTGAAATTAAATTTAATTTTTTTTAAATATAATTATAATCATATCAGACAAGCAGATCAGATAGGAGAACATGCTCTAGTGAGTAAGAAGGGTGGTGCAAAAGATAGTTTGACTCCAGGCCCCGGCGAAGCATGATTGTGCATAACATGTGGTCCTTACACATACGAAATACTAGTGTTTACCCCGTGCTTCGCACGGGCTCGTATATATTCTAAACTTTTGAGATTTTATAAATATAATTTTAGTTGTTTTAGTTTCTAATAGCGACAAAAAATGTTTTAGACTGATGGAACATACAGAGTATATTGGTATGTTAATTTAAAAAAACAATTTTACAAAATTAATAATCATTGAATTAAGTACTAAATAGAAATGGTTTGAATCAATAAAATATTATAATAAAAAGTGGATCAGTTACATGCATAATGATACATCATTAGAGAATATATATATGTGTCATAATGTCATTTGTCAGTTGTCACCCTTTAAATTTATACAATCATTTTTCGAGAAGTAATAAACTAAAATAAGCTGTGGATAGTATAAAAATAATTTTATGTGTGTGTACTCAAAATACGAAGTTTATTTTACAATGGTGAAATATATATTCAGAATTATTAAGGAATGAAAATTTTTATACAAATGTATTAAAAGATATTTAAAATAGGTGCAATGCATATATCCACTTCATAAATGGGTGCACATGTGGATGCACATGTGGCATGCCACATGTCAACATTGCAACAACTAAACTCTCTTTTACATATATATATATATATATAGGATAGGATATACTTATTCGTATCTAAAAGATTGTCACAATTTGACTTTTTGGTTAAATTGTGGCATCGTTTGAACTCGAATTATGTAAAAAATATATTTAGTTACTCCGTATAATGTAAATTTAGTAAAATTAGGGTTATTTTAAAATATGGTTTTGAAATATAAAATTCAAATAATATTTAATTATTTTAAATTATATTTTTGATTTGTAATTAAAGAGTGTCACAATTTGACTAAAAAAGTCAAACTGTGGCAATCATTTAGGAACGGAGGAGATATCATATTCCACGTGTAATACTTTAAAATTCAATTTACCTTCTCAGATTACTCGCTAGGTGGGTATTAGGCCCGGACATGGTTGATCTTTTTTTTTTTGAAAGATTGGAAAATCTACGGAAATCTGCTAAATTTGAGTAAAAAAGTATGAAAATATCAAAATAGAAGTCAAAAATATTTTAAGACCAAAATAAAAATATATAATGACAATGTGATATAAAAGTATGCATTGACGATGTGATGAAAAGTGTTGACAATTTTTTTAGGGAGAAACATGTTTTTATTTGGAGGCAAAAAAAAAAGTTTATTGCCCAATATACACATTTATGTTATGAAATTAATGATTGTTCATTTATTCAATTAATCAGGACTAATTTCTAGAATAGTAGATTAAGACACTCATTGATGAGTATCAATTATGTACAGTACTTCCCACTTGTATTTGTATTCATACCAAGGCTTTCCACTATAAATAGAGGCCTAATCCCTGCATTGTAATGACCATTAAGAATAAGAAGAAGAGTGAAGAATTAATAGAGAGAAGAAATCAGAAATATATTATATCTATTCTCATAATCTCTAAGTAGTTTTTCTCTCATTTTATAACACGTTATCAGCACGAATTTGCTCAAAATCCCAGAATCCTTGTTCTTCTCAGAAGGTATATTTATTTAATTTTCTTCATAAACAAACTAAAATATTTTCTTAAAAACTATGAGAAGTATGCTCTGTGATTGCCCAAATTTGGGATCCTTCACACAAGAAAATCATGTTTCATAAATTTAAACCATGAGTAGAATTTAATACGTATTAGATAAGATCTAAATAATAATAATAATAATAATAAGTAGAGATTTACAAAATAAATTAAATGATTGATCTTATCTGATAAAATCTTCTATCAATATTTTGCTTCCAAATCCTGCACACAATTCTCTCCATTTTTAAAGGGTGGAGACTAGAGAGAGATGAATGACTTGTAAAATTTACTCCGGGATAGTATTAATATAGAAGCTTTTGCTTGGTATCTATTTTTCAAATAGAATTATTTTAGTGGATATTTTAATACGGAGTAGGTACAATTTTTTTTTAAAGATGTAGACAACCCATTCAGGGAACCACAGCACATTGTTTTTGGTTTTGTTTTCTTTTACTTGTTCTCTCTTACGGAGTATCTCTAAGCAAATAATTAAAAAAAAATGCTAGCTATTATATTAGTCAGTAACTTTTATGTTTGTAGTGTATTGACTCCATCCATTTTCCTCCACTTGTTTTTTTTTTAATAAATTTATGAGAGAGAAAAGAATATCACTCCGTATTTTTTTTAAAGATATAGACTCTTTCAAAATATATTAATACAATAACCTTGCATCTAAGTGATAAGATTTTTTTTGGTTCATATGGATGTACAGAAAAGTTTTTGTTTGATTCTTATGGGGATCATTATACTTGTTCTTTTAATTTGAATACTCCTCATTATTTACTCATAGACAAAAAGTTTTTTTTTATTCCTTATTAAAAAAAAACTTGAAGCTTTATTATTTTTTTTACAAAGAAATAAAATATAATAAGCTAACAAATTTAATTTATCTTGTAGTTATTTAATGGCCAACATCACCAAAAGAGAATTTGACATTCTTGATTTATCCGGTCAAAGGTACCTGGAATGGAGGGTTGATGCACTTGCTCACCTTAAGGCTAATGGCTTCGAAAATACAATTGCTGAGAATAATACATCATCATCTCAGCAAAAGGCAAAAGCCATAATTTTCCTTCGCCACCACCTTCATGAAAGTTTAAAATCTGAATATTTATTGGTGGAAGATCCGAAGGAATTATGGGATAATCTCCAAGAGAGATACGGACATCAACAAAAGGACCTATTGCCAAGAGCTCAATATGAATAGATCAATTTAAGATTCCAAGATTTCAAATCTGTTTGTGACTATAATTCTGCTATTTTTAAAGTCACGTCCACATTAAAATTATGTGGACATAATATCACTGACCATGACATGTTGGAGAAAACTTTTTCCACCATGCATATGTCAAATGTGATATTACAGCAGCAATACAGAGAAAGGAGCTTTAAAAAGTATTCTGAGTTAATCTCAGTATTACTTGTTGCTGAGCAGAATAATGAGCTCTTAATGAAAAATCATAACATGAGGCCCACCGGTTGTAGCCCTACAAATTTTGGCCATCCTGATCGTGGTTCAGCAGCAGAATCAAATGTTATCCAAGGTGGTGCTCGCGGACACTTTAAACGTGGACGCGGAAATAACCGCAACAAAGGGCCGAACAGGGGCTATAAAAATCCAAATGGATCATCCTCCAAAGGAAAAGGAAAATTCAAACCACCACAGGCTAAAACTTATGAAAAGCCAAAACCAAGTGGTGAATGCTACAAATGTGGCATAAAAGGACACTGGGCGAGTGAATGTCGAACGGCAAAACATTTGGTTAAATTATACCAGGCTTCCACAAAAGGAAAAGGAAAAAATGTGGAAGCTAATTATGCTGATGATATCAAT